GTTTGTTGCTTTAGCACTTTTTCAATACTGGTATACAAACCTTTTTGTACTTCATACTGCACTGGGCGGTGGGGTAGCCTAATAACTAAGGCGTTCGCTCGTCACGCCGAAGACCCGGGTTCGATTCCCCACATGGGTACAATGTGTAAAGCCCATTTCTGGTGTCCCTGCCGTGATATTGCTGGAATATATTGCTAAAAGCGGTGTAAAACTAAACTCACTTATACTACACCAGTTTTGACTTAGGTGTCATTGTGTCATATTTTTGTAGACCGATGTTTGTGATCTTGATCACTGGTTTGTCTGATCCAGAATCTGTTAATTACAGACAGCTGCAACACAGCTGGAATATTTCTAATTGAGGCGTTGAGCATCAAACAAACAGAATATAAGCTACTTGTATTAGACTGTTGGTCACGACTGGTCTATAAGCTACTTGTATTAGACTATTGGTCACGACTGGTCTATAAGCTACTTGTATTAGACTATTGGTCACGACTGGTCTATAAGCTACTTGTATTAGACTATTGGTCACGACTGGTCTATAAGCTACTTGTATTAGACTATTGGTCACGACTGGTCTATAAGCTACTTGTATTAGACTATTGGTCACGACTGGTCTATAAGCTACTTGTATTAGACTATTTGTCACGACTGGTCTATAAGCTACTTGTATTAGACTATTTGTCACGACTGGTCTATAAGCTACTAGTATTAGACTATTGGTCATGACTGGTCTATAAGCTACTAGTATTAGACTATTGGTCACGACTGGTCTATAAGCTACTTGTATTAGACTATTGGTCACGACTGGTCTATAAGCTACTTGTATTAGACTATTGGTCACGACTGGTCTATAAGCTACTTGTATTAGACTATTGGTCACGACTGGTCTATAAGCTACTAGTATTAGACTATTTGTCACGACTGGTCTATAAGCTACTAGTATTAGACTATTGGTCATGACTGGTCTATAAGCTACTAGTATTAGACTATTGGTCACGACTGGTCTATAAGCTACTTGTATTAGACTATTGGTCACGACTGGTCTATAAGCTACTTGTATTAGACTATTGGTCACGACTGGTCTATAAGCTACTTGTATTAGACTATTGGTCACGACTGGTCTATAAGCTACTAGTATTAGACTATAGGTCACGACTGGTCTATAAGCTACTAGTATTAGACTATTGGTCACGACTGGTCTATAAGCTACTTGTATTAGACTATTGGTCACGACTGGTCTATAAGCTACTAGTATTAGACTATTGGTCACGACTGGTCTATAAGCTACTAGTATTAGACTATTGGTCACGACTGGTCTATAAGCTACTTGTATTAGACTGTTGGTAGACTGTTGGTCGACTGGTCTATAAGCTACTTGTATTAGACTATTGGTCATGACTGGTCTATAAGCTACTTGTATTAGACTATTGGTCACGACTGGTCTATAAGCTACTTGTATTAGACTATTGGTCACGACTGGTCTATAAGCTACTAGTATTAGACTATTGGTCACGACTGGTCTATAAGCTACTTGTATTAGACTATTGGTCACGACTGGTCTATAAGCTACTTGTATTAGACTATTGGTCACGACTGGTCTATAAGCTACTAGTATTAGACTATTGGTCACGACTGGTGCAGAAGCTGTATTACATGTAACCTCTCTCCTCCTCCGTGTTCAGTCTCCTGATGACGCAGAGCAGTCCAAAGAAAAGGGAAACAAGGCTTTCAAAGAGAACAAATTTGACCTGGCTGTCAGATGGTACACACAAGCTATCAAAAAAGAGTAAGTGCCATATCACCACCAGTCACTCAGTTGTTTCCAGGGCGGTGGGGTAGCCTAGTGGTTAATGCGTTGGCTCGTCATGCCGAAGACATGGGTTCAATTCCCCACATGGGCACAATGTGTGAAGCCCATTTCTGGTGTCCCCCGCCCTGATATTGCTGGAATATTGCTAGAAGCGGCGTAAAACTAATCTCAGTCAGTCAGTCAGTCAGTCAGTGTTTCCATGGCTCTGGTCCAGATCAGGTGGTCACACCCTCTGACTTGGTTGACACATGTCATCGTATCCCAAATCCGTAGATAGATGCTCATGATGTCGGATTGTCCGTTAGTAGTGCTGGGATTGAAGTAGCTGAAGGACCATTAATCAGAATTGAAATTCAGTATTTCCAAAGCCATTTTGTTGTAACAACTTATCTAACTAACGTCCTGGCTTCATGTAGGTGGGTTGTGTTTTACTGGTGGGAGGACCTATAAGGAGACTTACTGCTTTGTTTTACATTGTCACATATTAAATGCTTCTAAATTTCAGAAAACAATTTTAACATTGTGACAAATTTTCATGGTTTTGAACAAAATGACGCTGTTTTAATGCTGGTTATTAATAGTAATGCTAACAGACAGTCAAAATGCGGTGATACCTGTCAGATGTGTTATAAGGCCTGCCAAGGTTAGTAGAAAATAATTCCATCAGCCCTGCGAGTTTGTCTTTGTGTAGTTAATTTCCATTCATGTTAATATGGTTAATGAGAACACAGTTAACATGACTGACGACCCGTGAAGGTCCGGGTTAGAACAAACCTTCAGTAACCCTGCTTTTCGTAAGTGGCGTTTAAAGCGATCGGGTGGTCAGGCTTGCTGACTTGGTTGACACATGTCATTGGTTCCCATTTGTGTAGAACGATGCTCATGCTGTTGATCACTGGATTGTCTGGTCCAGACTAGATTATTTACAAACCGTTGCCATATAGCTGGAATATTGCTGAGTGTGGAGTAGAACTAAACTCACTCACTCACTCACATGATTGACATGATCATGTGTCTATTTCAGTCCCCTGAGCCACATCTTCTTTGGGAACAGATCTCAAGCATATCTCAAGTTGAAAAAATTCCGGTAAGCATGTAAGAAATGTTCATGAAGTGTTAGAATTGGTTATCGTATTGTAACTGCGTAGATTCGATGTGCATGCTGTTGATCACTGGATTGTCTGGCCTAGACTTGATTATTTACAGACCGCCGCCATATAGCATAGCGTTCACATTGCCCTCTTACCTCAATAATTCTGTTACACAATATCCAAACTTCTGTCTCCGAAATTTAATGCAAATGATTGAAGGCTGTGATTCAGTTGCTAACAAAGTATACCAAGTGAATCAGATCCCCCTAGATTCGAAATAGATGTACAGTATTACATCCCTGCTGTGTTGCTATACACAGTGGGATGTTGGGTAGCTTAGTGGTGAAAGTATTCTCTTGTCACGACGAAGACACGGGTTCGAGACGCTTTATGATATCACAAAATACATATCACGTTTACAGCTATCGTGAGTTCTAGTGGTTAAAGCGTTGGCTTGTCCCACCGAAGACCCGGGTTCAATTCCCCACACGGACAAAATGTATGAAGCAGATCTCTTATGTACCGTGCTGTGATATCGCTGGAATATGGCTAAATGTGGAGTAAAACTGAGCTAATTGTATTCATACACATCTACATGTAGAATCAAATTATGAATTGGCTGTGTCATGTGAATTAATGTTACGGTTTCCATGCCCTGCAAATTTCATACGGCAGTCTTTCAAAGTTAAACACAACTTACTGTTGTTATCTTGTGTTGAAGGGAGGCGCTGTGTGACGGACTGCGTGCCATTACACTGGACCAGGACTGGGCCAAGGTGAGTATATTGTGAAGCGTGTTGGTCTATGCACAAGGCTACAGATAAAGGGCGTCCAGGCGTAATTTATACCTCAAAATCAATTAAGTATGACATAATATAAGATTTCAAGCGTATCGCGTATGCACATAAATGCCTTTGTACGTTTAACATTTAATTTCCATGCGTATTGTGCAAATGGAAATCTATTTCAGATAAATCCTTTTTTGCGAAACACGATTTTACACATGAGGAAACCCCAACAGTAGGAATCCATTGCATTGCCATGCAACGATATGCGTCACAATTTTTCGATTGGCTAATAACTACACTGTTCGTATTTATATCCAGTCTGACCTGACATTTCGCGCATCACACGGTCGCTCAGTTATTTCTCACGCGTCTTCAAATACAAATACTGTACATGGCTGGAAATAGTGATCGATAAATCGTCCAGACAAACTCCATCACCAACTCACTCACACAAAAACATGTCAGTACTCCTTCAAAATTCTCAGTACACCTCCACTTGCAATATGATGTGTAAGTACACTCGCACCCCCAAAAGTTATCTGGAGCCCTGTATGCAGGTAACTAAATACATCAAAAGTCCTGGACGTTTTGCTTGAGTTTCCCAGGGAGGAGGTTGTGTTGAAAGTATAAACCAGCAGAGTAGTCATGGACAAGTGACCCATGAAGATCTGGATTAGAATTAGCCGTCAGCAACCTGTTGTTGTTATACAAGGCAACTGATGGCATGTGGTGGTCAGGCTTGCTGACTTGATTGACACATGGCATCGTATCATGCTGTTATACAAGGCGACTGATGGCATGTGGTGGTCAGGTTTGCTGACTTGGTTGACACATGGCATCGTATCATGCTGTTATACAAGGCGACTGATGGCATGTGGTGGTCAGGCTTGCTGACTTGGTTGACACATGGCATCGTATCATGCTGTTATACAAGGCGACTGATGGCATGTGGTGGTCAGGCCTGCTGACTTGGTTGACACATGGCATCGTATCATGCTGTTTTGTCCATTACAATGGAAAACTTCAGTGTTGATGAAAGTCTGTGTAGATTTTAACTTAATCCATATACATAATCTCAAAACTTCATGTATTTTTATTACCCAATGTACCGGTTCTGAGGAAAAACATTGCAATACGTATCATTTTTATATTTCCGTGTACCGGTGCGACCGTGCAGTCCTACTTTGAACTTGTTTTGTATTACATGGCCTGGGTTCAAAGTTCCACTGATTGGCAAGAGTCTCTCTCTTGATATTAAGGTGTTACTAAATTCAAAATTCAATACATAAACTTCATTTCAGGGTTACTACAGATATGCTGAAGCTTACTTTGAACTGGGAATGTTGGACAAGGCTAGAGAAATAAATCACATTGGTAGACAAGCATGTCAACGTACTGAGGATAAACTGAACCTGAGACAGATTGATGAACAGAGAGAGCGCTTCAAGACAGGTGGGTGAAGAAACAGATAGCTGAGATTAATTTGACAGAGCCTGCAACACCTTCACACTGTCATGGGGCCGAAATAATGTGGAGGGATGCTTTAATCCTGTACTTCATTGAGAAAAATTATGTCGCTTGTTTGTTTGATTTGGTACACACACTATAACTTGGTCACTTTTACAGTTGTTTTTCATGTTTCTTTAGGTCCAGGTTAGAGTATTGATCTTCAGTAACCCATGCTTGTCGTAAGAGGCGATTAACGGGATCGGGTGGTCAGGCTCCCTGACTTGGTTGACACATGTCATCGGTTCCCAATTGCGCAGATCGATGTTCATGCTGTTGATCACTAGATTATTTACAGACCGCTGCCATATAGCTGGAATATTGCTGAGTGCGGCATAAAATTAAACTCACTCGCTCCCTAATTAGATATCTTTATATTTTACAGAAAAGCAACGGCTTAGTCATCTTGACAAAAACATATGGGCACAAAGGTGTGTATTTTATATATAAATATATCTAGTGATATAGTAGATTATACATGTTATAATGGGTAAGATGTTACCGATCTTCACATTGTCAGTGGTATGTAGGTAAGTAGGGATTTATCCAAACATCCATGGAGGACAAAATTCTGCCCTGAGTGGCAAGCGTATCCGGCCCCCAAATCCGCCAAATTGGAATTATCATAATTATAAATTTACCTAAATTGCGTAAATGATATAAAAATTGCTTTCTTGGGGTAACTTGAATGTCACTGAAAACAGAACCAGTTTTTGCGAAGAGGATTAAAGTTTATATTATTGTGCTGAATGCATGCTGATAACCTAGTGTAAAATACCTCAGATATGAAGTGAGAATGTAAAATGTTCAAATTTGGAAAAAAATGACTTTTTGTTTCTTGTTAAATTTCCTCCCAGGTCAGTTAGTTTTTATTCTGAATGAATGACTAGCTGTTAATTTGATAAAATTCAGTGTTGATGTTTAGCAGGGTCACATGATTGAGTTTGTTGTTAATTGAATTTGAATATTTCTCAACAGGAGTATTCCCTGTAACATTTGATTTCCTAATTGTAGGTCTCTGCCAGATCTTGTCAGTGATTCCAACGACAGTGACGGAGAGGAGGATGTAAGTACTTACTGCAGTAAGTCAAGACACAATCTTAATTGATGACTTTGTTGGTACCACAGCAGGATGGCTATGACCACATGACGTCAGTTTGTACATGACATCATGACATCAGTGTGGACATGACATGACATCAGTTTGTACATCACAATATGACATCAGTGTGGACATGACAACATGACATCAGTGTAGACATGACAACATGACATCAGTTTGTACATGACATCAGTGTGGACATGACATGACATCAGTTTGTACATGACAACATGACATCAGTTTGTACATGACAACATGGCATCAGTGTAGACATGACATCAGTTTGTACATGACATCAGTGTGGACATGACATGACATCAGTGTAGACATGACAACATGACATCAGTGTGGACATGACATCAATGTACACATGACAACATGACAAAGCAACATGACATCAGTTTGGACATGACAACATGGCATTGATCTGTAGGCCTCGACAGGGCCTTAGAAATAGTTTACATGGTGAAATCTAACTTAGATTGAGGAGGGGGTGGTTCCGTCATTACATCCCTTTCCTTTTATATAGTACTAGGGTAGGGTCTATATACCTACATGTCTTTCTAACGCTGTTTCTAAGCGTGACACGCCCTGTGGTGTGGAATGACACTATGACATCAGTGTGGACATGACAACATGGCATCAGTATGGACATGACACCATGACATCAGTGTGGAGATGACAACATGACATCAGTGTGGACATGACAACATGGCATAAGTTGGACATGACACCATGACATCAGTGTGGACATGACATCAGTGTGGACATGACAACATGGCATAAGTTGGACATGACACTATGACATCAGTGTGGACATGACAACATGGCATTAGTTGGACATGACACCATGACATCAGTGTGGACATGACAACATGACATCAGTGTGGACATGACAACATGACATCAGTGTGGACATGACAACATGGCATAAGTTAGACTTTACAACATGACATCAGTGTGGACATGACAACATGACATCAGTGTGGACATGACACCATGACATCAGTGTGGACATGACAACATGGCATAAGTTGGACATGACATCAGTGTGGACATGACAACATGGCATCAGTGTGGACATGACAACATGACATCAGTGTGGACATGACAACATGGCATAAGTTGGACATGACAACATGACATCAGTGTGGATATTACAACATGACATAAGTGTGGACATGGCAGCATGACATCTGTATGGAAATGACATCAGTGTGGACATGACAACGTGGCATAAGTTGGATATGACAACATGACATCAGTGTGGACATGACATAAGCGTGGACATGGCAACATGACCTCAGCGTAGACATGACATCAGTGTGGACATGGCAACATGACATCAGTGTGGACATGACAACATGACATCAGTGTGGACATGGCATAAGTTTGACATGACAACATGACATCAGTGTGGACCATTACAACATGACATAAGTGTGGACATGGCAACATGACATCTGTTTGGACATGACAGCATGACATCTGTATGGAAATGACATCAGTGTGGACATGACAACGTGGCATAAGTTGGTTATGACAACATGACATCAGTGTGATCAACATGACATCAATGTGGACATGGCATAAGTGTGGACATGGCAACATGACCTCAGTGTAGACATGACATCAGTGTGGACATGGCAACATGACCTCAGCGTAGACATGGCATCAGTGTGGACATGACAACGTGACATCTTTTGGACATGACAACGTGGCATCAGTATGGACAATGTTTACAAGAGTTTTTGTATGCTAAATGCATCTTATTTGCTGTTTTCAGGGAGTGCCGGGTCTTATTAAGTGACAGTGATGACAACTACCCGCCTGTGAAGGTATGTAGGTCAGTCAGACCACACTGAAACACATTGGTCCAATGAACGATTGACGTCTTGATCACACGTAATTCTGTTTCATGCACAAGGATTTTTAATTGCCTTTTGTGAATATATTTTACAATAAACTTAAACTTGCTCTGACAGAACCAGTGGTTGGCTCACTGGGTACAGCATGTTGCAACCAACAAACACTTCAATCCCTGTGTTTTTGCCTCCGCAGAGCACCAAGCTGAGACGGAAACAAGACTGTAGGAAGAAGCTCCTTGCCCCTTTCAACCAGACACTGCGAGAAGGCTCGGATGCTCTAGAGAAAGGCCTGGCTGAAGTTGCTCGAGCTGCCTTCGAGAAGGCTGTAGAGAACTATTCCTCTTCTAACTTCCTGGTACTGAGGCATTTCACCTTTCTTCACATTGGTAGTGTTACATATGTTATATTTGGGATAACACTTTCTTAGTAAAGTACAAATTCTAGTACTTTTTGAGTTGAGCCCCATCCGGGATTCGAACCCACACCCTCAGAGTCAGGCACCTAATCCCCAGCACACAAAGTCAGCCTCCTAACCTATTCAGCCACCGCGGCTTCCACAAAAATGGAAATCGGACAACTGGTAGTCTAGACTGCGGACTTTGTGTACCCCTCTGATGAGTGTTAATTGGCACGGCTCCCACGGCTGAAAGCTATGAAATACACAATGCCATTTAGAAAGTGGTCAAATGTAACATATGTTATACTTGGGATTACACTTTCTTAGTAAAGTACAAATTCTAGTACTTTTTGAGTTGAGCCCCATTCTAGTACTTTTTGAGTTGAGCCCCACTCAGTACTTTTTGAGTTGAGCCCCATTCTAGTACTTTTTGAGTTGAGCCCCGTTGGTAGTGTTGTCATGCTGTAATCAAAATAATCTTTGAATATCAATTCAGCGTGAACTGAAGATTTGTGAGTGAGAGACAACTAAGACCAAGTAACTAGTACCAGTTACTGTGAGGACTATGTACATCTTATCTTGCCTCACACATAAATGTTGTTTTCTGATTGGCTGAGCGCTCTTCTATTATTTTCAATGTACCCTGCTTACAAGCGAGTAACGTTGAGAATGCCAAATTCATTTGGTACTTCATAGCACTAATTCTTTCTCTCGAATAACATTGAATCACATATGATGTACGGAAATTACCGATGTTTTGCGAATGCAAATCGATGGAAGGGTGATAACTCTAAGTTTGTTTTTCTTGTTGCCTTGTCGTCGGGTACTCCATTCTATGATCCAATACCCGTGCTTCAAACAGTTCAAAATTACCATTGAGGTGTTCGGTAAGATAAATATGTTGTTCACTGGTCCCTCGGGGCCCTTGGGTTGATGTACCCTCGATGTTTGTTTATCAGGGAACATAAACAAACATCGAGGGTACATCAGCCCATGTCCCCCTCGAGACCAGTGAACTAGTTATAATGTATACACTAAGGCTGTAACGATTCACTCGCATATTCAGTGAATCGAACCGAAGCCCTTCATGAATTCAATTCGTTATTCGTGGTCATCAGAACCGAATATTAACGAATATTTCCGCATTTTTTAAGGGAACATGTTTTACTTGAACCCTTGTGCAGTAGCGCAAGTCATGTTAGTTTGCCAAGGCCGCACATGGTACTGTCGACTAGAACTATTACATACCAAATTTGAGTGTCATGAGATCACTGGTTATTGCTGTGACAAATCACAACTGTCAACATGGGCGTTCCATATTGTGCATCAATCACTTAACTACAATATTGTATTCGTGAATAATTATTCGTATTCGTTACCCAATAATCATGATACGTATCATATTCACCACATAGTGTATTCGTTGCAGCCCTAGTATACACTTATTATGATGTAATTCTATTCCTTTCAGCAAAAAGATGTAACAGAATGTAAAGTGCTTGTCCTGAAGTATGCGTTGGGCATCAGTGCTGTGGCAACTGGCAACTACACGGTGAGTCCATCATTACCCAGGGCTGGAAATAACCCATTGCCCGACGTCTGAGTCCAGTGTTTTTTTCTATCAAGCAAGCAAATTTGTATATCACACTGTACCGGTGTCCAGTTAACTTTCCAATGTTAATTATGTTGTTTATTTTAAAAAGCAGCAAAAAACGGTCTGTATAGTGGGAAAATTATCAGGGCAAGTGACTTTACATGTGCCACTGTACCGGGTTACACTATCAATTTGAAAGTTATTTCCACCCCTGATTACCCAACCATTGATTATTACCATAATAGTAATGATTATCATATGTGAACCCCCTTGTTGTTGCCCTGACTGGTGCTGGTATAGAGGGGCCAAAACAGGGACTGGTTAACTCAAAATAGTTATAATTAAGTTGAGTGGGTACTTGTGAAGATCCAGGTTAGAATTGGTCTTCAGGAACCCATGTCTGTCTTAAGTGGCGACTAACGGAATTGAGTGGTCAGACTCGTTGACTTGGTTGACACATGTCATCGTGTCCCAATTGCGCAGATCGATGCTCATAATGTCAGTCACTGGATTGTCTGGTCCAGATTTGTTTACTTTAAGACTGCTGTCATACAGGTGGAATATTGCTGAGTGCACTGTTCATCAAACAAACATAACCCTTCTGTCTGAACACAAGAAATGGACGAACTGAAAGTCACCATTAGCCAATGAAAACTCACCTTTGCCTTCTATTGAACAGCACATCATGGAAGCCATTCATAGATTTGAAGAAATCAGTAACTCTTCCAAAGTGAAATTCCCTGCTAGCTACTATGGTCTTGGCAAAGCTTACGTCACATTAAACAGGTGAGTCGGTTTTACTTTTACACTGTGTACTAAAAAGGTTTTCAGTTAGGTTTGGTATTTACATATATTTTCATTATTTCTAGTGAAGTTTGACAATAAGCTATAATTCTGTTTGTGTTTTAAGTGCCAATCATGTCAGGGTTGTTTTAGTCCTTGTCTTAAAAGAACAGGTGGCCGTCTCAGGTGATAAAGTTTTCTGTGGACAGTTGTCTCCCTTTGCGTGCCAGGAACCTAAGATCCTGTTTTCACATCCCAGTTCACAGTCTTGTTTCCAACTTGTGCTCTTGAGTTTCTCCAATACAGTAAACAACTAAGACAAGATTCCCTGCTTCCACATCATCCTGACGTACTACATGTATGATATAACTCAGATACCGTTCAAAGTGACATTACTGCCTCCGTGGTGTAGTGGTTAGAGCGTCAGCCCGGAGAGCGGAAGGTCGCTGGGTTCGATCCCCGACCGCGCCATACCAAAAAAGGTGAAAATATGGTACTTGTTGGTCCCTGTCTGGCGTTCGGCATTAATGGGTACAACAAGGACTGGTCGGCTCGGAGTCAGTATAATGTGTCTAAGTGGGGTATTCATGCTTCACTGCGGCATGGTATCTCAGTGGGCTAGCACTATTAAACCAGCTTAAGTCTGGGCTAGTACAAGCAGCCACACATACACATATACACGCATGCACGTCGTGATATGAGCGAAATATTCTCCAGCACGATGTAAAACCCAATTTCACCTCACCTTAAAGTGACATTATACCCATCACCCTCACCATCTCTCGAACAATAGGAAAGAATGGAATCTTGGTCCTATCTTAGAGGGATATTTTGGGGTTAAATTATTAAGTGTATTAATTTGGCCTTTCTACAGTCTTTCTAATATATGTCTAATCGGTAACTGTTGCTACAGGTACACCGAGGCAACCGTCAGTGTCAACAGTGGATTATCGGCAGTGAAGAACGGAGTGCGGTGTGATGTGGTTTGTTGGCCAGGCACAGAGAAGGTCATCCCAGAATCTAGAAAGGAGAAACTCGAGGTAAGTCAACATAGCATTACAGGGATTGTCTAAGCTGTGATATCGCGATTTTCTCTCACATAAATACGCTCCTTGACAGATACATGTTTTACTGATTCAGATTTTAAAGCTGTTTCTAATGTTGGTTTTGTATTCCATGGGAATTACATGTCTTGCAAATGAGCAATGAGTAACTCTGAAATTGGGATGTTTGAACTACTGTCGTCTCGTATTTCAGGCTTTACTCAAGGAACTCCTGCAGACATGTAAACGTCCACCCACTCCAGATGCTGTGTGTCGCCATGGTAACTGTCTGGAGAAGGACCGAGATGTTATATATTTCTCAGATCCAGATTTTAAGGTCAGAATGTGTTATTGTATAATTATTTTTGTCAACACGTACATTTGTATTACCAGTAATGTATATGTTTAACACGCTTTAATTGTACTCTCCTCTAACTTATGTCATTAAGGGACAGTGGGGTAGCCTAGTGGTTAAATCGTTCAGCTCTTCACAGCGAAGGCTCAAGTTTGATTCCCCACATGGGTACAATGTGTGAAGCCCATTTCTGGTGTCCCCCGCCGTGCTATTGCTGGAATATTGCTAAAAGCGGCATAAAACCACACTCACTCACTCACTCACTCATTATGTCATTAAGTATTTATGTTGATGATGTGTTGCATATATGAGGAATGACGACCTAAATGGTCAAACAGGTCAAACAGGTCAAATGAAGAGCTAAAAGTCTGTGGATTGATCTCCAGGCCACATTCAAAATGAGTTATATAGATGGCATGGTGTATCCATATTGAAACTGGGCTGTATTGATATGAATGCACTGGCGGTGGGGTAGCTTAGGGGTTAAAGCGTCCGCCTGTCACGCCGCAGACCTGGGTTCGATTCCCCACATGAGTAGAATATGTGAAGCAAATTCCTGGCGTCACCCGCCGTGATATCGCTGGAATATTGCTCCCTCACTAGTATGAAGATGAATATTTTAAATTCTAGTAAATTTGAATGAAGTCCATCGCTGAGTACTTTCCAGATAATCCTGAGTCTCCTGACCCAAACTTGGCGTAATCTTTGTTTTCCTTTATGGTGGCCAGTACTCTGAATGAAATATCTGCAGGTCATCTTAGCAGATCATCTTTGCAGGTCATAATCTTAGCAGGTCATTTTTGCAGGTCATAATCTTTGCAGGTAATAATCTTTGTAGGTCATCTTTGCAGGTCATAATCTTAGCAGATCATATTTGCAGATCATCTTTGCAGGTCATCTTTTCCTGACCCAAACTTGGCGTAATCTTTGTTTTCCTTTATGGTGGCCAGTACTCTGAATGAAATATCTGCAGGTCATCTTAGCAGATCATCTTTGCAGGTCATAATCTTAGCAGGTCATAATCTTTGCAGGTCATTTTTGCAGGTCATAATCTTTGCAGGTAATAATCTTTGTAGGTCATCTTTGCAGGTCATAATCTTAGCAGATCATATTTGCAGATCATCTTTGCAGGTCATCTTTTCCTGACCCAAACTTGGCGTAATCTTTGTTTTCCTTTATGGTGGTCAGTACTCTGAATGAAATATCTGCAGGTCACCTTAGCAGATCATCTTTGCAGGTCATAATCTTAGCAGGTCATAATCTTTGCAGGTCATTTTTGCAGGTCATAATCTTTGCAGGTAATAATCTTTGTAGGTCATCTTTGCAGGTCATTTTTGCAGGTCATAATCTTTGTAGGTCATCTTTGCAGGTCATAATCTTAGCAGGTCATAATCTTTGTAGGTCATTTTTGCAGGTCATAATCTTAGCAGGTCATGTTTGCAGGTCATTTTTTTAGCAGGTCAACAAGTCTATCTGTTTTCTTTCAGGGGTTTGTCCGAGTGAACTGTCATTCACTGTGTGTGGTAGAGTTTCACATGACATGCTGGAAGGCCTATAAGGGTAAAGGGTCTGACAAGGTATGTGTGCAGTGACAGAGAGCAGTTGGCCATTGTACCAAGTGATCGTAGCTCTAAGGTGATTGTAACTCCCATACCCTAACATGGACGTATGACAGTTGTTATCGTATGGATAGTTACTCATGATACTATCAACTTATGCTTGTCGTAACAGGCAACTAAATGGATCTGATGGTCAGTTTAGTTACTTGTTTGACCTGCGAAGATCACGTTGTAGAATTGGTCTTCAGTAACCCATGCTTGTCACAAGAGGCGACTTACGGGATCTGGTGGTCAGGCTCACTGACTTGGTTGACACATGTCATCGTATCCAAATTGCGTAGAATGATGCTCAGGATGTTGACCACTGGATTGTCTGGTCCCGACTCAAGTATTCATGGGGTGGTTGGGTAGCCTAGTGTTTAAAGCGTTCGCTTGTCACGCCAAAGATCCGGGTTCGATTCCCCACACGAGTACAACGTGTGAAGCCCAGTTCTGTTGATCCCTGCTGTGATATTGCTGGAATATTGCTGAAAGTGGCGTAAAACCCAACCCACTCACTCATTCACTTGATTATTTACAGATTGCCATCATATTGCTGGAATATTGCTTAATACGGCGTAAAACTTACTCCCTCACTACTTGTTCAGTGTCCTTAACCCTGTTGATATTGGTCATTAGACACGTTATCAATCACTAGCTTGTCTGGTCAAGACAGAATTAGACATGCTGCTGTAGTGTATCCAGAACTGTGACTTTAACCATGGTTTTCTGCTTGTATTGTAGGAACAGCTGCATACCTCCTGTCCAACACCAGACTGTAGTTCGTTAATACAGAGAATATGTCTCTACAGGCAGCACTCTGATCCTAAAATTGTAAGTCATTCAGACAGAAAATTTGTTCATTCATTCATTCATTCAGACATTCATTCATTCATTCATTCATTCATTCATTCATTCAGACATTCATTCATTCATTCATTCATTCAGACATTCAGACATTCATTCATTCAGACATTCATTCATTCATTCATTCATTCATTCATTCATTCAGACATTCATTCATTCAGACATTCATTCATTCAGACATTCATTCATTCATTCATTCAGACATTCATTCATTCATTCATTCATTCATTCATCTGGCACTTTTAGAATTTTAAAAGGTTTCAAAATATTGTTGCACCGTGTCATGATTAGATGATATAAAAAACGTCTATATTTTCTGTTGATATGTTTTATTAATGGACATTTAAAATGCCAAGCTACATGAACCATCCCCATAAGATGAATCATTAAAACACAAGAGTTTTGATTTTGTTTATTACTACTGAGTCCGACTTGTTGATATTGATCAGTGGATTGCTGGTCTAGGTTTGATTGTTTACTGGCTGCTGCTTAATGTACAGCTGCAATATTGTTAAACAACAAGAAAATATATAGCATTGCACAAATTGCCTTAGGCGTAACCTGTGCTGGATCCCTAGAGTTGGACATGCCTGGCTCCCGATCATCAAAACGTTTGTAGCGTGACAACATTTGCAAGTATATGATAAACTTTAGAGTTACGACCGGTCGTAACGTTGCGACCACTTTGTGGATCAAGGCCCTGAACCTTAGTCCAATAGTGTCCAGTAACCGAAATGTCCAGTAACCCAAGTGTCCAGTTATGATTGTGTCCAGTAATCCAAGTGTCCATTAACCCAAGTGTCCAGTAATCCAAGTGTCCAGTAACCGAAATGCCCAGTAACCCAAGTGTCCAGTTATGAATGTGTCCAGTAATCCAAGTGTCCATTAACCCAAGTGTCCAGTAATCAGAGTGTCCAGTAACCGAAATGTCCAGTAACCCAAGTGTCCAGTTATGAATGTGTCCAGTAACCCAAGTGTCCAGTTATGAATGTGTCCAGTAATCCAAGTGTCCAGTAATCCAAGTGTCCAGTAATCAGAGTGTCCAGTAATCCAAGTGTCCAATAACCCAAGTGTCCAGTAATCCAGCTGTCCAGTAATCCAAGTGTTTATATGGTCAATGAAAGCATGGGGGTTAAAATATATTCATTTGTTTTCTTTTTTCAGTATATATCAGACAAACCATTGCAAAAATCTAAAAGTCAAAAGAAATCGCAGAAACTCGAACTGTCAAGGTAAGTCTTTCAACACAGTGTTTTATTGAAATTGTACATCCATGAAGATCCGGGTTAGAATTGGTCTTCAGCAAGCCATGCTTGTCGTAAGAGGCGACTAACAGGATCGGGTGGTCAGGCTCGCTGACTTGGTTGACAAAAGTCATCGTATCCCAATTGCGTAGATCCATGCTCATTTCTGGATTCTTTGGTCCAGACTCCATTATTTACAGACCGCCGCGATGTAGCTGGGATATTGCTGAGTGCGCCCTTAAACAAGAAACAGACAAAAATTCAGATTGTACATCAATCAGTTGTGGAGAATTCTGTCCAGACGCTATGATTGTAGATTCACATCTCGGTTCAACAAGATTATGTTTGAAGGTTTTTCAGCGCCATACCTGTTATTTACTGTTTAACTGTCGTAAGTCCAGAGTAGGTACAAGTAGCTCACAAGTGCATTTCTCAGTGTACGTGAATAAATCATGAACACCGTGTAATATAGGGGTGTCACGATACACCAATCTCAGGATACGATACGTATCACGATTTTAAGGTCACGATACGATACGTATCACGATACATAATTTTCGCGCCTTTTCATAGCATTACCTTACCGGCAACGTACGCGCTCGCTGATTGGTCCATCAAAATAGTCTAGCCAATAACAAAAGCTGTTAGTTTCCAACCTATTTTTTAAGTAAAGCTAACTACATCTATTTATCCGAGCGATAATTTTGCTATCAAGACTTTGAAGAAGATGGATATAGCATACAAATTTGAATCGATAAAGTTTTAAAATAGGAATCGATACGCAAAGCATGTATTATCATTATCGATCAAAATAGTAAAAATGTATCGATGCATCGATACATTCGCGAATCGCGACACCCCTAGTGTAATATGTCACTTCACCTCCTGTTGCAGCGAAGACAAAATATCTCGTAAAGCGGAGAAGAAAGCACTTCGGAAGCAGAAGAGGAAAGAGGCTCGGGACGCTGAGGCGGAAAAGGAGCAGGGAGAAGAAGAGGAGGAAGAAACAGTTGATTCCCTCTCTCTGGCACAGCAGGGTACAGGCAAATATCGGGTCTCTCTCTCTCTCTGGCACAGCAGGGTACAGGCAAATATCGGGTCTCTCTCTCTCTCTGGCACAACAGGGTACAGGCAAATATCAAAGGGTCAGGCAGGCAAATATCGGGTCTCTCTCTCTCTCTGGCACAGCAGGGTACAGGCAAATATCGGGTCTCTCTCTCTCTCTGGCACAGCAGGGTACAGGCAAATATCGGCTCTCTCTCTCTCTCTGGCACAGCAGGGTACAGGCAAATATCGGGTCTCTCTCACTCCTGTGTGTGGGTGGGTGGGTAGGGTCTCTCTGGTGGGAGGGTTGGGCAGGGGTACGGGCCAAATGCTCCGGGGAGGGTTGGTGCAGGGGTCAGGCAAAGTCTTTCAGTCTCAAATATGTGAGTTTGTTGGGATCTCGTGCACCTCCAGAAAAGTGCATCTTCTGTCACCTCTGAGATGGGGGTATGATGAGTGTACATGAAATATTTTCTCACGTCATTCAGTCATGACGAGACCCGTGAAGATCCGGGGTAGAATAGTTCTTCAGCAACCCATGTGTTTGCCATAAAAAGGCGACTATCTTGTCGTAAGAGGCGACTAACGGGATCGGGTGGTCAGTTTCGCTGACTTGGTTGACACATGTCATCGGTTCCCAATTGCGCAGATCGATGCTCATGCTGTTGATCACTGGATTGTCTGGTCCAGACTCGATTATTTACAGACCGCCGCCATATAGCTGGAATATTGCTGAGTGCGGCGTAAAACTAAACTCACTCACTCACTCAGTCATGACGAAATGGTTGCCATGGCAACATGGTTGCCTAGGGTGTAAACATTCTCTGAGATTGTACTCACTTGGCACACCAGAACCAGTGTCCTCTTGTTCAAATCCCAGTTTAGCCACCTTGATGAATTCCTAACCCGTGCTTGTGGGTTTCTATAAAGTTGTACTGACTGATCACGATGAGAAGATGTAAGGTTGATGATTCGGCATGTACCGGACATGCCAGTTTGATAGTGATTTGAGGGTCAAGTTAGGGCCTCATCTTATCTAATCTACAGTCATATACGATCACTGTCAAAGACCAGCTTAGGGCTTTCCTCCTTCATCAAGCTGGTATGTTGTTAAAACCCTGGAATTCAAAGCGTCTCTAAACCAGTCTCAACAGAATTAGAATTGGTCTTCAGTAACCAACCCATGCTTGTTGTAAGAGGCGACTAACGGGATTGGAGGGTTGACACATGTCATCATATCCCAATTGCGTAGAACGATGCTCATGATGTTGATCACTGGATTGTCTTTTCCAGACTTGATTATTTACAGACAGATGCCATATGGCTGAAACATTGCTGAGTGAGGCGTTAAACAACAAACCAACCAACCAATTGTTCAAGATGGTGTCAAACCTATTCTCTTGTTCACTCACTGACAATTTTCAGATCTGTCTTGTGAAATACTTGTGTGTCAATATTGGGGACAGAGTTTTAACACACAGTTTTATGACAAATCAGGGTTAAGTGGATTGAGCAACTGGTAGGAAACCAGATAACAGATAACCTTAACAGAAAGCCCTTGTATTACACTGCTTGGTGCTTGGTATAGAGGGGCTAAACCAGGGACTAGTTAGCTCAAAATAGTTATAACTGAACTGAGTGGGTACTTGTGAAGATGTGGGTTAGAATTGGTCTTCAGCAACCCATGCTTGTTGCAACTAACGGCATCTGGTGGTCAGGCTTCACGACATGTCATCGTATCCCATCTGTATAGATCGATGGTCATGACATTGATCACTGGATTGCCTGGTCCAGGCGCAATAATATGCAGACCGCCACCATTTAGCTTTAATATTGCTGAGTGTTACGTTAAAAAACAAACAAACAATTGAATGGGTCTATGTCAGCTGTGATCATAAGATGGACAAGTCCAGACTAGTAGGAATTAGAGGATAACCTGTGTAAGTGTCACCTCATCCCTAAACCACACTGTTGTTTAACACATGGTTGTATTGGCAGTTCTTCAAGACGAGTCTGACCTAAAGCACCTTGCGAAGGCCAACGCAGTCTTGTACAAGAAGGAGGAAACGGAGGAGGCCAATCTGTACAAGGTGAATGTCACAACTGGTTTCATGTGTTTCCTGTCCGAATTACAACATTGCAAGGTTTCAACCTGTTTAGAATAGCGTCCCTCTAAGAAAAGATTTTTGTCAATTTTTTTTTCCTGGTTTCCGTGGAAATGCTTTGGACTTAGTCTAAAAAAATCAAGTTCAACTTAAAGTAACTGTCAGATGATTTGCTCTTTCATATTTGTGGTGGCCGGGGGGATTTGTCATCTTCTGATGACTCTTGTTTATATAGCTTTTGGCCATTTTTCATCCTTTATCATCTTTATCCTGATGAAACATGATATGACATTGCATGCAGAAACAGAGAATAACCGTCATGGTACAAGTAATTATGCATTATTTTGTTGCTCATGAATTTTGTAAGTTTTATCAATCTCAAACCTTGGAAAATAGATAAGTAATGATAATATGAAAGGAAAGAATTGGGTGGTCTTAAACATCTTTCAAGTGGTACATGTACCCAGTGATGTGTCCCATTGTTTGTATTGGCGACTTTCTATCTTTCGGTGTACCCCAAGGATCCGTGCTTGGGCCTCTCTTGTTCACGCTGTACATCAAGGCTCTTGGTGAGTCTATCGAGCCGCAAGGTGTTGATCGTCATGGCTACGCAGACGACATGCAACTTCTGAGAACATTTGCAGTTAGAGACTCCCAGAGTGCTATCTCCCATCTAGAGGAGTGTACTATTACCATCAAGTCATGGCTGACTTGTAACAAACTGAAGATGTGAGTGATGGAAAAACTGAAGCAATCATTGTTGGACAAAAACAGAAAATACATCCTTTTGGAGACAGGGACATTTTGATTGGTAATGCCAACATATCATCTCTTCTGCTGTCAAAAACCTTGGTGTTGTGGTTGACTCTGATCTGCAAATGGCGAGCCAGGTTACCAACACTTGCAGAAGCTGCTATCACCATCTTCGCAACTTCATTCACATTCGACAAATGCTCTCCAGAAGCCACTTGTGTCCTTGTACGCTCGTTAGTCCAATCACGTTTAGATTACTGCAACATTCTTTATTATGGCTTGCCAGAGAGGCTCCTCACAAAGCTGCAGAAGGTGCAGAACACTGGTGCAAGGATCATCAGCAGAACAAAGAAACGCTCTCACATCACGCCTGCCTTGAAGTCCTTGCATTGGCTGCCAGTACGAGCAAGAATAGAATTTAAGACTCTCACACTTGCTTATCAGTGCTTTCACTCAACTGCGCCAAGTTATCTAACTGACCTACTCTCCAAGCACAGTCCTGTGAGAACATTAAGATCAGGAAATCTTTATCTTCTGGAGATACCAAAACACCATCTGAAGTCATTTGGCTACCACTCTTTCAGCTATGGTGCTCCTTCTCTCTGGAGCTCTGTTCCCTGTGATATCAGACTGTCACCAACCCTAGACAACTTCAAATCTCATTTAAACACATTCCTTTTCCGAAAATACTATCACTGCTAGATTTCTGCGTTCCGAATAATTTTAGATACTATGTATATACTCATCATAGCGCTTAGAGCAGATACTTAGTGCCTGGAGTATTTGAGCGCTTTATAAATTCACTAATTGTTATTATTACATTGTCATTAGTGTTCAAAATCCAAGTCCCCTGATTACTAATTGGTACACTTCCGTGAAGATCTGGGTTAGAATTGGTCTTCAGCAACCCATGCATGTGGAGGCAACAAATGGGATCGGTAGGTCAGGCTCGCTGACTTGGTTACCAAGATACATGTCATCATAATCCAGTTGTGTAGATCAATGTCCATGCTTGACTATCTGGTCCAGACTCGATTATTTACAGACCGCGGCCATATAGCTGAAATATTGCTGAGTGTGGCGTAAAACAATAATCGAACAAACAAAAGACTAATTGGTTTGTGAGAATGGTAATCGTGTGTCTAGCTAGTTAGACTGTTACTGAAATAACTGTTGATGACATTTCAGGGCAAGTCCAAGACGAGCAAACCAAAGAAGGATAAGAAAAAGACGAAGCAGGTCCTTAATGTGGAGGTTAATTTCTCTGATCGTAGAGAAGAACAGCTGCTTGGAGAACATTCTGTAATGAGTGACTCGGATGAAGACAAATATGCTCCCAAAATGTAAGAGAAACTTAACAGTCTTCCTAAATTATGTACACTTTCCTCATCTTAACCTTGTGCCGATTCTAACTATTTAATTGTATCCATCCATTCCTTATGCTTTCCTTGTACCCATTTCTCATCTTAACCTTGTACCCATTTCTCATCTTAACCTTGTACCCCATCTAATAAGCCTTGTCATATTAGCCTTGTACCCATTTCTCATCTTAATAAGCCTTGTACCTCATCTTAACCATGTCATCTCTAATAAAGCCTTGTACCCATTTCTCTTAACCGTGTACTCATTTCTCTAATTAACCGTGTACCCATTTCTCATCTTACCCTTGTACCCATTTCTCTAATTAGCCTTGTACCCATTTCTCATCTTACCCATTTCTCTAATTAACCTTGTACCCATTTCTCTAATTAACCTTGTACCCATTTCTCTAATTATCCCCCGCAACGTGTTTCTTCAACAAACTTGGCACATACATAGATCTGGTGGCGTCCTGGTGCCTTTTGGTAGTTTTGGATTTCTGAATAAAATATTTTTGGCATTTCCATGGCAACAAGTTTGACATAGACTGAAATTGGTGATAGTGCTCCTTTCTGGAGCAGAACTTTAAAAATCTTTCAATACTCTCCTTCCACTTTTCTATAAACACACCTAAATATTTGACATAATCATAACTCGTAGACATAATCATGAAAAGTATTTTGCCATTGAGGGGGATATTGATGACTTTGTCTGGACACAATATGATCTGTTGTTTAATGTGCTCATGTTTCAGACCAAGGTCAACATATAATACCGAGAACCCCTTTTCTGTGCCTCCAAATTTACATCAGAAGGTTCAGGATTTTAATTCAGTATATGACCAGTCTATCAACCCCCAGAACAACAAACACAATGAAGTGGCCAATAACCTGTTTGTGTAAGTACACAAGTGAACATCAGGATCAGAATTTGTCTTCAGCAACCGTTGCTTGGTGTAAGAGACGTTTTGTGCTTGTTGTTTTACGCCACACTCATCAATATTCCAGCTGACTTTGCGTGGTCTGTAAATAACCTGGACCGCCTCTGTGGTGTAGTAGTTAGAGCATCCACCGGGAGAGTGGAAGGTCGCGGGTTCGATCCCCGGCCGCGTCATACCAAAAGACGTTAAAATATGGTGCTTGTTGGTCCCTGCATGGCGCTCGGCATAAATGGGTACAACAAGGACTGGTCGGCTCGGAGTCAGTATGATGTGTCTGAGTGGGGTATTCATGCTTCACTGTGGCATGGTATCTCAGTGGGCTAGCACTATAAAACCAGCTTAAGAATGGGCTAGTACAAGCAGCCACACGTACACATGCATGGACGTCGAGTGAAATATTCCTAAGTACACGAAGTTAAACATTTCATTTCACCTCACCTGTAAATAATCTGGAGTCTTGACCAGACAATCCAGTGATCAACATCATGAGCATCGTTCTACGCAATTGGGACACAATGACATGTGTCAACCAAGTCAGCAAGTCTGGTCACCCAATCCTGTGCCTTGCGTCCTATGACAAGCACACGTTGCTGAAGCCCAATTCTAACCTGGATCTGCACAGGTTGTAGGCGATACACATGGGAGGGGGTGGTCAAGTTTGCTGGGGTGGTTCTTTTTATCCCAGCTACATAGATCAATGCTCATATTAAACACTGGATCGTAAGTTGCAAGCCTTGATTGCTTACATTCACTAGTTCCTGAGGTCGAAGCCTTTATTGTTTAAGAAACACCGTCATATAGCTGGAATATTGCTGAGTGTAGCATTAAACACCTTGTGGAGTCACTACAGTCAACTTGGTTTGCAAATGAGCAAAATGTCTTGGACAGAATTAATGGTTTTAAATGTGATCGTAATCGAAAATTTATACTGTGGTAATTTCAACAATTGTTTTCGACAACATTTGACATTATTACCTGAATGTAAAATGATTTTCCTGCAGGTATTTTGCGGAGCTGTTGGGAGAGCATGGCCCACTGCATGTGAATGATTCTCTGTTGACCAAGGAGCTAGAGGACTTTCCTGTGGAGGCACGGGAGGTGATAGATACTTACGGGGGTCTTCGTGGCTTCCTACAGCAGTCGCTTAAGTTCGGACTTATAGACAATTATGTGTGTTTGTTGAAAGACGCTGTACACGTTCGGTCGTTGGCCATGGCGCACAAGGCGGAGTATCCCACCCTGAGTGGGAAACAGACCATTCCAAGTGATTCGAAAACTAAACCGCAGCCTGTGAAAAGTGTTTCCTCATCGGAGATAAATAATGTTTCTAAGATGTCCCTGAACCCGGCTGCCCAGGAGTTCAAGCCCCAGCCTAGTACTGGTGTGTTTGTGGAACAGTGTGGTGATAAGGATCCCTTTGTGGTAAATACTATGAATTCATGTGATTCTATGCGTGTGATAGATCATCTCGTGAAGACTTGTACAGCCCCACAGGCAAAACAATCCACATATAATTCGTTGGACGACTTCACTCTTCCCCCTCAGCCAAATAGTAGCAAAAATGCGGAAAAGACGCTTTTAGAAAACATGGACGACATAGACGATTTTGAGTTGTGTGCTGATGATTTAGAGGATGACATAGAGACTACAAACAAATTTTGTGAAGCTGATTGGGGCAAGGAGAGTTGGGAGGGAGGAAGCGACAGTGTGTCTGAAGGTATTTCTTTGGCAAAGATTCGTGGTGTGGGTTCTAAAATCTTGGATTCAGCTCATACACCCAGTAGTATCAAATCAGATGAGCTTGACCCTAGCCGTTGTAGTTCAAGATCGTCTCATTCTGAGTTAGGCGAATTTGAGCTTGGTTATCGCACAGTTTCTCCAGCTCTACAGAGTCAAGGTTTCAAGTCGGCCTATTCCAGGACCTCTATACAGAAGGATGTTTCAGCTGATGTGTTTTCAACCAGTTCATTTCACAGTTCCGACATTCAGCAAGGCAACCTGGAGTTAATGGATACTAGCCGCAAAAATTCATTGGATAAAATGATCATTCCGCCACATCCGTTTTTGAGTTCTTCGTCTAAAGATGCTTTTGGTTCCTTTGATTCCCAACCCAGCAGTTGTGATAGTCCCTTGGCAAGTGCCAGTGGGGATGCCCCAGAGAGTGTGACCAGCATCTGGGGTAGTAGCCCCACCCCCATCTTTCCCAAAGCCCCCACCTTCTCCCAGGATAACGGTTTCAACACATTCCAGGACAGACTTACCAACAAGGCCCAACAAGCTGTGTATACCCCTTTCCCTAACCACTCGTCCTTACAGTCTCAGGACAATACCAGTTCAACGTGGTCGTCAGCTGATGGTCTGGAGCCTAGTACTGCTTCGAGTTTCGCAGCTTCAAATACCCAGGAGTCGTATTCGTTGTTTGGACTGGAGAAGAGTTCAGTGTTTTCTCAGGATCACAACTGGCTGAAGCCCAAGTCATTGGTGGACGTGCAGGTGCAGGCGACGTGTTGTGGCGTGTCGGTGTCGACCAACACGGATCTGGATATGAACAGTTTGTTCCTTCACTACACAGCCATGCAGGAGCAGCACACCCAGCTTGAGGCCACGCTGCACAAAGCGCAGGAGGAGAAGATCAGTCTCACGGTAAGGCACACCTCCCGCTCCACGGAGCAGTCTTAGCATTTGTGACATGTAATATTTTGTTTAATACACCTTCTCAGTAAAGTACAAATTCTAGTACTTTTTTGGGGTGGAGTCCAGTCCGGAATTCAAACACACACCCTCAGAGTACCTAATCGCCAGCGAACAAATTCAGCCGTTTAACCCACTCAGCCAGCGCACTTCCACAACATGTTCTTGTGTACTGGCACCAAACAATAAATGAACAGTCACTGTTATGCAGGCTTCCAACACAAACACAATGTATGAATACAATGTCTTTCAGAGTTCACATGGGCTTGAAAAGCATGAAATTTGGATATTTTACTCTGAAAAGGCCCTGAATTCGTTAGCTCTGAAAAGGCCCTAATTGCCAGTGATTTGCCCTAAAAAGCATCTATATTTAGCAAAACTTATAAAGTTGTGATTTTACAGGAAATTAATACATAATAAAAATACCTTGCAGTGATAGTGGGTGTTAATTATCGTCCATTGTGAAGCAAAACTTTCCCTGTGCAGCGATATAGCTACGAGTTACTCATGCTGAAGACCCACATGGGTACAGCGTGTGAAGCCCATTTCTGGTGTCCCCCGCCTTGATGTTGCTGGAATATTGCTAAAAGTAGCGTAAAACCAAAACTCACTCACTCCTAAAAATTGTTGATTGGGCCTGAAAAGTCCCTAAAAGGCCTAATATTGACAGGCTGCCACCAAACACATGTATACAATGTCTATGTTGTACAGGCTGCCACCAAACCCTGTATACAATGTCTATGATACAGGCTGCCACCAAACAGTTGATGTTGGAGAAGATGAAGACAAGCCAGGAGCAGCAGGTGTACATCCAGCAGGTGGACCACCTCAAGCAGCAGGTGGTGGCCGTGCAGCAACTCAACCACAGGTCAGTCTCCTTGTCACATGTCATAAACCTCAACCTGGGAAGGTCCTCGTTAGAATTGGGTCTTTATAAAAAGCAACCCATGCTTGTTGTATAGGAGGTACTGACTAGGACGGGATCGGTTGGTCAGGCTCGCTTGACTTGGTTGACACATGTCATAAAGTGACTATCCCAATTGCTTATGTTTGATACTCATGCAGTTGATCACTGCATTATCTGGTCCAGACTCGATTATTTACAGATATATAACTGGGATATTGCTGAGTGCGGCGTTAAACAACAAACAATCCAAGCAAATCATAAACCTCAGTGACATGTTGGAGCCTTTCCCTGCTCAGTATTGCTGACTCAGAATATGTTACATCCTCAGGGGTGGAAATAACCCATTGCCCGATGCCCGAGTCCAGTGTTTTTTTCTGTCGGGCAAGCAAATTTGTATATCACACTGTACCGGTGTTCAGTTGATATTCCAATGTTAATTATGTTGTTTATTTAAAAAATCAACACGAAAACGGCCGGTATAGTGGAAAAATTATCAGGGCAAGTGATTTTACATGTGCCACTGTACCGGAGTACACTAGCAATTTTAAAGTTATTTCCACCCCTGATCCTCTCACATACCCACCTGTACTCCCACTGAAATACCTTCTGGCACACCCTTTTATCCACCCTCTGACAGGGATTTATCTTGAGTCCTGTAATTGGGTCCCTGAGACTCACACTCTTAATATTCAGGGGTCCTGGACTACAAAATGGGGGTTCCAGACACTTAAATATTATTATTAATACTATGTTGTAATATTGTTGTAATTCAGTTACTGTTATTATATTGTGTATCATGATCATCACATTGTTACAGTAATTAAATTGCTAATGATACCTTATCCTGGCTAGTCTCAGTGATAACTTATTGTTACTTGATCAAAATTTTGTGGACGCGCTAATCCATTTCATTGCGTCTATTGCGTTTTTATGTGTAGAGGACGCAGGAATTCGCACACCGTAAATAGTAATAATAATAATAGTCCACTTATATAGCGCCAATCCAGGATGAATATATCCCTGCGCTGACACAGCCTCCCTCTGACACAGGCTTACACATGTACTACTGTTACAGCCTGGAAGAAAACCTGAAGCAGGAAAGCGTGAGAGCCGAGGAGTATCAGAAGCAGAACGTGGACAACAGGTGAGAACAGCCAGCTTCTAGTAGAATCAGTACAGTGTCAATATCAGGAATATGTCCGTAACTAGAAACTTGAATGTTGCTAAAAGCCGTGTCACATACACAGGGCTCCAGATAAGGGCCGTATTGGCGTATGTACGGATATAAAATGTGCACGATATGGTAGGAAATAATTTAACCACAGCAATGGAATCATTTACAGACGTATTTATCTGAAAAAGTATTGTTTTATTGTTTATTGACCTGTAGCAATGTTGTGGTGCAAATGTGAATTGCTGATACTCCATTAAATTACATTCAGTTGTCTAAATGTACTCACTCACTCAATGCACTGCCTGGCTTACAAGCCTTTAGCCTAAGTGTATGACAAACTTGGATGTGAAGCCCTGACATATGCTGTGTATGTTGACAGGGAGATGTTCCACAAGGAGAAGGCAGACATGGTGGCCAGTGTCGTAGAACTGCAGAATAAATATGTGTCTCAGAAGGAACGAGCTATTGCAGCGGAGGTAAGGGAGATGCAGAGCTGCCTGACGAGGGAGTGAAAATATTCTCTGAAACATCGTGATCCTAGTTATAAAAGAGGTTGACATCCATAAGTGGATTTCACTATTAAAAGGTTTTAATGATAGCCTTGTGTTTATGAAATATAGTATTTATAGTTGGAGAAAGACCTCCAACCTTTTTATCAGGCTGAGTTTGTCTCTCAGGTGAAATCTCTCTCTCTCTCTCTCTCTCTCTCTCTCTCTCTCTCTCTCTCTCTCTCTCTCTCTCTCTCTCTCTCTCTCTCTCTCTCTCTCTCTCTCTCTCTCTCTCTCTCTCTCTCTCTCTCTACTCTCTCTCTCTCTCTCTCTCTCGCTCTCTCTCTCTCTCTCTCTCTCTCTCTCTCTAACTCTCTCTACTCTCTCTCTCTCTCTCTAACTCTAACTCTCTCTCTCTCTCTCTCTCTCTCTCTAACTCTCTCTCTCTAACTCTAACTCTCTCTAATTCTCTCTAACTCTAACTCTCTCTAATTCTCTCTAACTCTAACTCTCTAACTCTAACTCTCTCTAACTCTAACTCTCTCTAACTCTCTCTCTCTCTAACTCTCTCTAACTATATATACACACATTATTCCAAAGGAACTTTCAGCCAATGATACTTAGTCTGTTTGTATTTTGGCAATTCCAGATCACCAATGAAATATAGCTGTAGCAATTTAAAAGCCACGTGACCATGTGGGTAATCCGAAATAATTGCCCTCTTTACTTCATAGTTAATGCAGAAATCGAGTTTTCTATAAGGTGTCTACAGATCTTTTACCTTTCTATGGTCTGGGATTAGGTTTTGAGTGAGATAGTCTTTTCCAATGTAATGTGTTCACAGGTTTACACACACACAAATAAACTTGACCTGCATGTTTAGAAAAAATATCTGATGTGGGTTTGCAAAAGTTAGTGTCCCTTGTTTATGACTGTAATTTTTTTTCACATTTTTTTTATTCACCTTATGACTGTAATTTGAATAGATGGCAAGATGTAGGGAATGTGTCATGGGTACCGTGATAGGTTAAGCTGCATGTGAGTGTACTATTTTACATATCATGTTACTGTCTGGTAAAATCAGTAGTGAGTATACCCATGGAGATCCGGGTTAGATTTGGTCTTTAGTCACCCATCCTCGTCGTAAGAGGCGACTAATGGGATCGGGTGGTCAAATTAGTTGACTTGGTTGACACATGTCATCGCATCCCAGTTGCTTAGACTGATGCTCATGCTGTTGATCACTGGATTGTCTGGTCCAGCCATGACTAGACGTTGCTATATAGCTGAACTTTTGCAGAATGCAGCATTAAAAATGAGTATACCTTTACCATTATTTCTAAACCTCAATGTTGAACTGCATTATACAAAGTCAAACCCATTTTGTTTCTTTGTCAAACAGGCTTTTTGTTTTGCAGAACAAAACTGAAATACCAACCATGTTACTTTTTGCCTTACAGCAAGAATACCTCCAGCTGAAGATGCAGGTTTCTCTACAGGGCTACAACGCCGCCAAACGTGAAGCAACATTTCACCAACACCATGTTCTCACCTACGTCCACAAGTATGTCACCTCTAATCTCAACTGTCACGTGGTTGTTTACCCCTTCATGTCGGTCCTTCTCTCCAGCTCTCAATATAACCATGTCCTTATTAGTGTTGGGAATTGATTAAAATCTCATAATTGATGATCGGTTCATTACTACCGATCAATCATCGAAAATAATTGGTTAGCGTCATTTATGAAATTAGTTAATGCACATTAAAATAAGGGGAAAAAATGTAATTCTTCTGGGTTTTTTGGCAAAATTTCACATCTTTAAAAGAAGACTAGTATGTTAGGAACATAATTTTCTTGGAATCTTTAAGATAAATTCAATCATGACTTGAAACGAGCTTGTAGTGCTTACAAAATGTAACAGACAAAACCAACCATGTGAAAATTATTGTTAATGAAGACAAGTGTTCCAGAATTGGTTGTGTTCGATTATGAGAAATTATGATCGATTGCTTGGTCGTTTAGTCACTACGACCAATCTTCGATTATTTCAATTAATCGGACCACCACTAATCCTTATACTAGTTGATAATACATTTATTCCATATACAGCTATAACCAACTGAACTGGTCGAGTCATTGTCAATATCTGTATACAGCAAAACCTTGACAATCTGGACAGCCGTTTCAAGTACAATCGTCATGTACAAAAACATATTGTTTCTGTTACAGTATAGTTTCATTTGTAATTTGTAATGCTACAATAACTTCATAAACAAGTTACCAAAATGAATCGTACCCATCCAGATAAAGGAGGTTCGGTCAAGCGGGCATGTACTGTATGTCTTCTGAACATATCTATTTCTCATTCTCCATAGTCTATAGACCGCCTCTATGGAGAGCGGCAAGTCCCAGGTTCGATCCCCCGACCACGTCATACCTAAAGACATTTAAATATGGTACTTGTGGTCCCTGGCACTCGGCATTAATGGGTACAACAAGGACTGGTCGGCACGGGAATCAGTATAATGTGTCTGAGTGGGGTATTCATGCTTAACTGCAGCATGATATCTCAGTGAGCTAGCACTATAAAACCAGCTGGGCTAGTATAAGCAGCCCCACATACACACGCATGCACATGGCCATATGAGCGAAATATTCTTAAGTGCTGGTTAACCCCACCTCACCTCACCTCACCTCACCTCACCGTTGATATTGCTGTACCTGAAGCCTATGTCCTAAAGGTTCTGATCCTCTCAGTATTTGCTACTGTCAGCAGTACATGTGCTTTCGGGGCGGTGGGGTAGCCTAGTGGTTAAAGCGTTTGCTCGTCACGCCGAAGGCCCGGCTTCGATTCCCCACATGGACAAAATGTGTGAAGCTAATTTCTGGTGTCCCCCGCCGAGATATTGCTGGAATATTGCTAAAAGCGGCGCGTAAAACCAAATTCACCCACTCACATGTGCTTCCACATCAAGCTGGGTCACCATGACCACTTGACTGACCTACTGTTCCATGCAGCAGTAAGCTGAACTCACATACTCTCTGCCTGTTTTTCAGATACCAGGAGGATAAACCGGACCTCCCTGCCAAGGTGAAGCAGATCCTGTCACATCTCACCGGCGTCATCGACACGTGTGACTCCAGGATTGCAGACATCAAGGTGAGAGAGATCCTCTGTAGAGAAGTGCTTCATGGTCTGGTAGCACCCAGTGTGTATGGACTGCCTTGCTAGTGAATATCTTGATGGTCTTGCCGTGCCTAGTGTGGCCTAAAATACATTGGGTGAGGTGAGAGGCGAAATATTTCGCTCATATGACGACGTGCATGCGTGTGTGTGTGTATGTGTGGCTGCTTGTACTAGCCCAGACTTAAGCTGGTTTTATAGTGCTAGCCCACTGAGATACCAGGCCGCAGTGAAGCATGAATACTCCACTCAGACACATTATACTGACTCCGAGCCGACCAGTCCTTGTTGTACCCATTAATGCCGAGTGCCAGGCAGGGACCAACATGACGCGGTCGGGGATCGAACCCACGACCTTCCACTCTCCGGACGCTCTAACCACTACACCACGGAGGCGGTCGGAATACATTGGGGGGGCGGTGGGGTAGCCTAGTGGTTAAAGCGTTGGCTGGTTGACCCGGGTTCGCTTCCCCACATGGGCACAATGTGTGAAGCCAATTTCTGGTGTCCCCCGCCGTGATATTGCTGGAATATTGCTAAAAGCGGGCGTGAAACCATACTCACTCACTCACTAGAATACATTGATAATCTTGTTTCTGTTGTAGACCCAGTGTGAGAAGAACATCCAGCTGATCAAGGAAGGCCAGAGTCTCAGTGACCTCCCACCCTTCTCTGCAGCGACAGCCCCTGTGCCCATGCCGCCAGAGATAGCGTCGATGGTCAGTCCACATTCAAACAATGACTATGACATTATCATTGCCTATGGACCCGTAAAGATCCGGCTTAGAATTGATCTTCAGTAACCTATGTTTGTAACCTATGTTTGTCATAAGAGGCGACTAACCCAGATCATCACAGGTTGTAAATAATTAAGTCTGGACCAGACAATCCAGTGATCAATATTATAGGCATCGACTACGGAAATGGGATGCAGTGTCTTGTGTCAACAAAATCGGCGAGTCTGACCACCCGATTCCATAAGTCGCATCTTGGGACAAGAATGATTTGTTGCAGACCAGTGCAACCCTGGTTGTTTTCGGATCAAAGTCAATGAAAACAGGAACATACATCTCTATAAAGCACATTTCAATTGCAACATGGAGGAATAGTGTTGTAAAATATGATTTTCTAAGACCGACCAATGGTTAATTGTTTTTCAAGGGTGGTGGGGTAGCCTAATGGTTAAAGCGTCCGCTCATCATGCCCGAAGACCCATGATCGATTCCCCACATGGGTACAATGTGTGAAGCCCATTTTCTAGTGTTCCCCGCTGTGATATTGCTAGAATATTGCTAAAAGTGGCATAAAACCTCGCTCGCTCACTCAATCACTCACTCGCTTGTTTTTACAGATGTCACAGATCTTCGGTACAGGGTCCATCAACAGCTCCAAGCTCTCCATGCGCCTGTCACCCACTGAAGTAGGCAGCAAGTCTTTACAAGTGTTCCAGCCCACTTCCAAATCCTCCTCCTCCACAAAGACCAGCAATGGTGGCGCCTCACATACCTCGGTACCAGCGCCAGTCTCCCAGCAAACAAAGACCAGCAATGGTGTCCACAATGGCAGCCTGTTGCAGCCTAAACCTATCCAGCCTCTTGGCTTTGGAGGGGGGCTGCAGGTGGCCCTCCCAAAACCTGTACGGGTTCCCATGACGGCCGCCCAGATTCAGGCAAGCCTGCTAAACAGCCCCTCTTTGCAGCATCCCATCCGAGGCAAGATTGCTTCTCCGCAACAAAGCAAGAACAGCTTTGAGAAGTTGATCGCCGCCTTGCAGAATATATTCCCCAATTATAGCAAGTAAGTGTTCTGTGAATATATGTAGGAATAGATTACTGAGAAGATACAGGAATTCATTTAGAGAGGTTTTATGGCACCGTTTCATGTTTTTCGTAGTTAGTAACCAACTTTTTGAATGCCGAAATAAATGTAACTTGTTCATTTTCTGATGCAATGATAGAAAAAAACCAAAAATGAATGTTACTTTATCATCTTAGTTTAATGGTTGTTAACTGCTGTATTTTGTACTCAGGCCGGAGTTTATGGTTCTGATTCGGGCGCTGTGCGAGTCCCGCGGCGGGTCACTGACAGGGATGGGGTTGGACGACATTGTGAAACACATCACCAACACAGTGCTGGAGAGAGAAGGCACCTCCTTGGGTCTCAACACACAGGTAATGGTTGCTGTCACACTGTCACTGATCTTACGTCACAGTGAGTTCACTATCAGAATGAATATATGATTATGCTCAGTCCCTGACTCACAGACTTTGAGCCACAGGCCCTCTCACGGTCCATTACTGAGTGATAGTTGATAACACATCAATTTGACCATGCCTCCATACTTTATTTTGATACAGTGAAGTGTTTGAATATCTTGACAGTGTGAAATGATATAGAAGCATGTGAAACATATTCCTTATAGCTGATGGAAATGTTTTTGGCACATTATGGTGTCATAGCAAAGTCAAGGTCATGTGTATGAGAAAAAATGTAAGACAGGGTATATATACATTTAATTGAAGGTCACAGTGGAAATTTTTATGGAATATTTTCGGAAATGTTCTTGCAACGCTTCCAGCGGATATTGAGGTTCCAATTCAATGTGACTGACTGAGTTTGGTTTTACTCCGCTTTTAGCAATATTCCAGCAATATCACGGCGGGGGACACCAGAAATGGGCTTCACACGTTGTACCCATGTGGGGATTTGGACCCGGGTCTTCGGCGTGACGAGCCAACACTTTAACCACCAGACTACCCCACTGCCCCCAATTCAATGTGAAGGTCATACACTCAATAATGTTGTATATTGGTGATTGCTCCACAGACTCCCACTGCTCCCCCTCCAGGCCTCAACACCTCCTGGGGCCCTCAACTCAGCCCCAGTGTCAGTGGTGGCAGCAGGAACCGGCAGCTGGAGCTGTTCCTGGATGAGGAGAACCCGTGCGCCATTTGCCACGATGAGCTGGAGGCGCAGGAGACACAAGACCTAGAGTGTGGACACACTTTCCATGTGGAGGTAGGGCTATAGCATGTGTAGGGTTCTCTTCATACACCTGATATCTTTCATTTTTGTAACCCAATGTTAGTGAAATAATTTTTACTGTTATTGCATCGTATTCCATCATACCCGTGAAGGTCCAGGGTAGAAGTGATCTTCAGCAAGCCATGCTTGTCGTAAGAGGCGACTAACGGGATCCGGTGGTCAGGCTGGCTGACTTGGTTGACACGTCATCGGATCCCTATTGCGTAGATCGAGTCTCATGCTGTTGATCACTGGATTGTCTGGTCCAGACTCGATTATTTACAGACTGCCGCCATATAGCTGGAATATTGCTGAGTGTGGCGTAAAACTAACCTCACTCCATCATAGAACATTCTCCAGAAGGAAATCTGTATTTTTTTGTCTGATGGGTAAACATTATTTCTTGGACATTTACTGTAGATAGATACGCGTTCATTTGATCTTCCTTTAGTCTTTGACTATTCTATTAGGCATTTGCTTAGTTCAGACTTTTGACTTTCGAATGTAACATAATCTCATTTGGGATCATATTTGAGATAAAGAATTTGTATGTGCTGTTATTTAGAAGCCATCCTTGCTTGTACCAAGAACCAGTGAAAATCCGGGTTAGAATTGATCTGCAGTAACCCATGCTTGTTATAAGAGGCGACTAACGGGATCGGGTGGTCAGGTTTGCTGACTTGGTTGACACATGTAGCATAGATCGATGCTCATGTTGTTGACCACTTGATTGTCTGGTCCAGACTCAAGTAATTAAGGACTATAGCTGGAATATTGCCAAGTGCTCACTCACTCACTCAGTGTTGAAATGTACTTGTTGTGTTTCAGTGTATTCGGACGTGTGGTTTAAGGAACAGAGTACCTGCCCGAACTGCCGTGTGCATGCCCTGCTACCAGACGAATTCCCTACCCTCAAATAAGGCATGCCTTGTGAACATATATTTTCATAAAAGTTTTTTGTTATTTTTATTTTTTTCTTTACTTCTGCAGAGAATGCTACAGATGGACACTGTATGTCTGCATAAGGCATGTACATTTAGCATACAGGCATTGTATCAAGCGTACAGGAGCTGTTACATAGGAAGATACATACAGAAATAGTGTGCCACATTACACAATGTTATAACATAGCCATGAAGTACATGGAAGTTATAACATTGATACAGATCCAGCACAAATGTGTTATAGCACATACAGGCACAATACACAAACGTTATAACATACTGACTACTGGAGCATGTTATAACACTGACAAAGTGCATGAATATACTAGAACAGTACACGGACGTGCAACACAAACATGTTATAACAAACTGGCAGTACACAAACATGTTATAACTGACACAGTACACAAACATGTTATAACACACAGTGACAGTACACAAACATGTTATGACAAACTGGCAGTACACAAACATGTTATGACAGTGATGCAGTACACAAACATGTTATAACATACAGTAACTCAGTGCATAAGCATGTTATAACAGTGACTGGTACAGAAACATGTTATAACACAGTGACTTGTACACAAGCATGTTATAACAGTGACTGCAAAAACATGTTATAACACATTGACTACTACACAGGCATGTTATAACACAGTGACTACTACACAAACATGTTATAACATAGTGACTAGTACACAAGCATGTTATAACACTTATGCAGCATTGCGATATGGCATAATAAGTGATTGTCACAATACTAGAAGATGTACTATATGTTACAAATCCACAACATGCCACTGTGTTATCCAAATTTATTTTGCTGTCTTTTCCTTAAATTCCTTTGTGTTGATATGTTTATGTTAAGATGTACTTATTGTTTTATGTTGTTACGCTACAAAAACATTCACTCACTCACTCTGAAGCAGAATATATAAGTTCAAGGGACATCCAAGATGACAAGGGTTAGTAGAACAGGGAGAAACTGTCTCAGAAAGTGATCTTAGTGCTAAGGTGATCGTAACTTCCTTATGTTAACATAGACTTAAGACAGCCTTAGCACTAAGGTGATCGTAACTTCCTTACCTTAACATAGACTTAAGACAGCCTTAGCACTAAGGTGATCGTAACTTCCTTACCTTAACATAGACTTAAGACAGCCTTAGCACTAAGGTGATCATAACTTCCTTACCTTAACATAGACTTAAGACAGTCTAAGTCTAAGCACTAAGGTTGTTTTGTACAATGGAACACTGGAGGAGAATGGGTACATTACGGTTAAAACACGAAATACTGAGAAGGAAATAGTAGAGAAATCAAATCCTGCCTGTCATGTTTTACATATAAATGTCTTAGTGTTATCTTTAGACTCTTATCCTAAACAGGTGATATTGATGTGTTCTGGAACCCTGGGTTGTCAGTCAGTTACGGTGATACATTAGATGGGTAGCACAGAATATAAGAAGATAAGATCCTGTTGCTGGACTGGTTACAGTCGTCTTGCCACTAAGATCCTGTTGTTGGACTTATAATAATCTCAGCACTAAGATTGTGCTGTAAAACACTATAGTCCTAGCGCACCAATCTTGTGAAACCATTTCAAGTCTTAGTGATTCTGCTGTGAGATGTACAACAGACATAGCAGTAAGATCCTACTTTAGAATGTAAAACAATCTTTGTGCTAAGATCCTGTTTTGGTTCAGGAGACGCCATGCAATCCTAGTCATGTTTTACAGTAAGTTTGGGAAAGGAATTTCACAATCTATGGAGTGTTATTACATATACTTTATGTTATTAAACACTGAATGTTATACATCCTTGTTCGATGGAGATCAAACATGCTTTGTCCTATATTTTTGTCATCCAGAATTTACGTATAATGATTTTGTCTTAATAAATATCTTAATTTCATATTGACATTTATTGTTTTGAATATACCATTGAAGATGTGGGTTACAATTGGTCTCCAGTAACCCATGCTTGTTGTAAAAGGCGACTAACGGGACCAGGTCGTCAGGCTTGCTGACTTGGTTGACACATGTCATCATATCCAAATTGCGTACATCGATGTTCATGCTGTTGATCACTGGGTTGTTTGGTCCAGACTCGATATACAGATGACCGCCATATAAGTGGAATATTGCTGATTGTGGCGTTAAACAACAAACCTAACCAAGCTGGTCAGTCCTTGAACCCCGTCAGCCAGGGTAACAAGAAGTAACATTCAAAATGTAATGGTGCTATAATACTAAACTGTACTGAAAAGGAAGCTATGAGCCATGTCCAATCTCGTTGTCCAAAGGTTTGGGCACAGACCACCCCAGCTGCTGTTTCTGACTGCAGATCGGTGGGATCAAGTTCAGTTGTCAGTTCAGAATGCTTCGAAGAACACAGCAATATAAGTCACAAAGGGAGACATGTATTTGAATAAGAATTTTATTTCTTAGTGGTTTAACACGAGTCTACAGTTGTGTGTTATCATCAAACATTACAGAGGAAAGTAAATGATATGATATGTACAAGGATGAGATCACTGTAAATTATAATTACCATGATTTTAACAGAAAAATCCTGAGAAAAGTAAAAATTTGATGTTTCTGTGTTGAATAAATATACTTATAACACCTTGAAGAATTCTACTTGAAGTTAATGGCATCGGAAGTTTGGATGAATGATGTATGCTATGCAAAAGAAGTTAAGGAAAACCTGAATTTTGTCATATGCCTATATAGTTCAAATAGTCACATGGGAAGAAGTTCTTTACTTCTTTTGAACAGTATGTTTGCAGAAAAATGATTATGTACAATATTATACTGGAAACAACACTATTTGCACAATAACATATAGAATACTGATGATAGTTTTATGTTAAACCATGACCTTGACCTACCAAAGTCTTTACGGTCTGGCGCTCTCATATGACTGGCCAGACAGGACTGATGGATATTTCCAAAGTTGTTTCTACAAAATCCAGGTTAAACAAAACATCAAACCAAGTTTTGCCAGAATTTCACTCAAACCAAGTCGTAACCAATCTTTCGTGTTTGCAGTACCATAAAATATAAAGATCACATACCAAAAATGTCCTAATAAAATACCAACATTTGACAACAATATTAAAGTAGCTCTTGTAGATTTGATTTGAATCTATATTGTGTTTATCATGACACAAATGTTTCAAAAAGTATATCACAATTTTCTTTGGACGGAAGATGTGTTTCCATGGCAACCAAAACTTAAACCATGATATTTGCTGGCTGGTTAACCTTTCTCTCGACTTGGGACAGATACTTCTCGGGGATCCCAGCCTCCCTGTGAAAACAATCAAGAAAATGTTGTAACATTTGGATTTTTAAAGTCAAAACATACAATGTCACAATGGAGTCATGAGAATTGGAATGTTACAGAAGGCTGTCATTTTTTATCAAAAATTGTGTTTGGTCAACCAAAATTAATCCCATTTGATTTCGATATCTGATATGTGTTTTCAATAATCAGTATGGCAGAAGCAAAGCATTGATCATTATATAGAATCAATGATATGGATATCATTTTAAAAATATTTCATCGATAGACACTTGGGGTGAGGTGATGGACTTTGTACAGAGGCTGAGAGGTACAGGTGCAAAAAACGTTTTTTTTAAAATCAAAACCATGAGCCTGTATGATTTTTCGAAAATCAAAACAAAACACCAGACAGTGAGTTTTTCTGGCAGACCATGTATTTTCTGGAACAAGTTAATTTACAGGCCCCTCTCCCCACCCCAGAATGCCAAATACTCATTTACTTGTCTATGTGTATTGCCTTTGTAGCATGCAGTGACGAGTGAATAAAATATTGTGGACGTACAGGTAATACCAAAGGCACAAAGATAACACGGAGAAAGTACATGAACATTAATGAACAAATATGATTATCAGTGACTAGTCTGCAAGTTGATCAGATCCTAGTGCCTCAATACAGCAGGCGGAACTAAGAAGCAAAGGGTATGACACAGTAACACTCAACTAATAGTTAATAAAATGATATGACTAATGCTGAAAAAAAACAAACCACACGCTTTGAAAATAACTTGCCGTTTCCATGTCTAATGCTGTCATTTTCAAAGTGCATGACTAACACATATAAAAAGACCCATGAAGATCCAGGCTAGAATAGATGCTTGTTGTAAGAGGTGACTAACGGGATCGGGTAGTCAGACTTGCAAGACATCATATCCCATTTCCGTAAGTCGAGGCTCATGATGTTGATCACAGAATTGTCTGGTCCAGACTCGATTATTTACAGACTGCTGGCATATAGCTGGAATATTGCTGAATGCAGCATAAACTTAACTCACTCACTCACTACAGCCATGGATGCCAGCATGCACATGGAAACGACAATTTCTAAACTAGGTCAAGGTCACTGCAAGGGTTACAGTTAGACACTTTCTGCGGCATTAACTCAGGATTCATCATCAAGTTCTAATTATATCATCATCAAACAGGTAATTACTACATCATAATAATCACCAACAAAGTGTTAAACTCTTTGAACCCTTACACTGACCTCGGCACACTGAGTTAAGAAGAAGGGTATCACAGGATGGCCAACCAACCAACAGATATGAGATGTTTTCGTAAAGACAGAATTGTGCTGTTTGTTGACTTTGTACTTTGTACCACACTGAAGGGAATGTTGAGGAGTTTCCAGTTGTTGACATAATACCTATAACAGTGCCGTCCACAGGAAGAAAACTTTGTCTACAACCATGAACTTGAAGTTGGGCAGCACTGTTGGTATTTCATTCTCAGGATATAGACTTGCAGAAGCTGATCTTACTAGACCAGATGGAATTTTATTGGACACGGTCTACAGACCACTGGGTAATGTTCCAGATAGAAAATGTGAAAACTGAATGTATTTTATATATTAGCTTATTCATTTGTCAATATTCAACAAATAACAAACACAATTCTATATTTAGTACCATCTTAAGCCATTTTGTTGGTACACCATAACCATCCTCAATTATTTAAGGTCAAATAGTTCCATTCTGTTTTGATAAGTACCCTGACATAATTGGAAGCCATTTTGAGTCTGATTCGTACAGCCCAGTTCTGAAAATATCCAGCCACTCAATTTACTCCCCTGCGCTAGAAAATTTCATAGCTCGTGACATCGCTTCCAAAATGACTGTGGTGCATAGGTCCAGGGTATTTATTAAAATAGAACAGGCATATATGACCCTTGATAAAGGAGGATGACTTGTAGAAGACAGAGCGGCACTGTGGAGATTTGCTCGCACCACTGGATGTTACACGGCGACAGACTCCGGGTTCTCCAGCTTTGCCTGGTGGACAACATGGCTGAGGTATTTCTCTGGGATGCCAATATCCCTGTACGCAAGGTGGAGGTTAGTAAAGAAACAAGGTGAAAGGTTAAAGTTCAGCTGTCTATGTAGGTCAAGGTTAATACTCTTTTAGATTACTAAATGTTAGGGCAATATCTTCTGCAGTAGGGCACATTAATAGAGAAACAAAGTTAAAGGTCAGCTCTGTATAGGTCAAGGTTAATTCTCACAGGTTAGTACATGTTAGTGGAACAACATCTTCCGTGGTAGTGTACATTAGTAGAGAAAGAAGGGGATGGTTAAAGGTCAGCTCTCTATGCAGTTCAAGGTTAAATTTCATGGGTAAGTACATGTTAGGTTAGAGTCCATCATGGTTAGACTTCGTACAAAATTAATGGACAGTTACTATAAAGCAAAAAGATCTAGGAGGATCTACAGACTGGCTTTGATTGTTGGATGAAACAGGTTTATAAGCATGGTGTTGTAATTATTAACAATGGCTGCAGCTTCGTTTCTCAGCCAAGAGCATCCTTTACATCTGGGGTATTAAAACAGAACTACAACTGTACATACCTGAGTTCTTGGAGCTTCTTCCTTTTGACTTCCTCCAATCTGTTCCGGCGGATACGTGCCTCTTCGTCAAGTTTCACACCTTCCTCAAAGAAGTTGTTACGATCTCTGACCTTCTCTTGCTCCTTTTGGCGAATCTGGCGGCGCACTTCCTCAGCATGTGTCAGTCGCTTCTTGTGGGTCACATCTTCCTCTCGCTGCTCCTTCTCCACCAGCTCCTTCTGGGCCCTGGAGAAGACGGAACAGACAGATCTCAACATGGGTGGAACATGGGGACTCACTGAACGGGGGATCACTGGCATTTGGTTACAGAAGTCATACAGCCAAGGACTGTCTTGTAACCCTCTCAAAACATGTGTGACCTAATAATAATAATAATAATAAGTCATCTTCTATAGCGCACGTTTCCGAACACCAAGTGATTGCTTGCGGCGCTTAATCAGAACAAAGGCAACACCCATTAAGCACCCTCTCAGGCCCTGTCTTATCTACATATGCATCACCAATTGAAGCACTATAGACATAAGCAACACCTATTTGGTACTCTCTCAATTCTGCCCAACCTACAGAGGCAAATTCCATTAAGCACTCCCTCAGATAGTGTCCTGCCTACATTAGCAACACCCACCTATGTGCTCTGTCCCATCAACACAAAACCTCCCTGAGCACCCTCTGAAACACAACATCTACCGAAGTACTGTCTCAAACTCTGTCCTATCAACACAAGACCTAGTCCTATCAACACAAGACCTACCTAAGTACTATCTCAAACTCTGTCCTATCAATACAAAACCTACCTAAACTCTCTCAAACTCTGTCCTATCAACTCAAGACCTACCTAAGCACTCTCTCAAACTCTGTCCTATCAACTCAAGGCCTACCTAAACTCTCTCAAACTCTGTCCTATCAACTCATGACCTACCTAAGCACTCTCTCAAACTCTGTCCTATCAACTCAAGACTTACCTAAGCACTCTCTCAAACTCTGTCCTATCAACTCAAGACCTACCTAAACTCTCTAAAACTCTGTCCTATCAACTCAAGACCTACCTAAGCACTCTCCCAAACACTGTCCTATCAACACAAGACCTAGTCCTATCAACTCAAGACCTACCTAAGCACTCTCTCAAACTCTGTCCTATCAACTCAAGACCTACCCAAGCACTCTCTCAAACACTGTCCTATCAGCTCAAGACCTACCTAAGCACTCTCTCAAACTCTGTCCTATCAACACAAGACCTACCTAAGCACTCTCTCAAACTCTGTCCTAACAACTCAAGACCTACCTAAGCACTCTCTCAAACACTGTCCTATCAGCTCAAGACCTACCTAAGCACTCTCTCAAACTCTGTCCTATCAACACAAGACCTACCCAAGCACTCTCTCAAACTCTGTCCTATCAGCTCAAGACCTACCTAAGCACTCTCTCAAAATCTGTCCTATCAACACAAGACCTACCTAAGCACTCTCTCAAACTCTGTCCTAACAACTCAAGACCTACCTAAGCACTCTCACAAACTCTGTCCTATCAACTCAAGACCTACCTAAACTCTCTCAAACTCTGTCCTATCAACTCAAGACCTAGTCCTATCAACTCACGACCTACCTGAGCACTCTTTCAAACTCTCTCCTATCAACACAAGACCTACCTAAGCACTCTCTCAAACTCTGTCCTATCAGCTCAAGACCTACCTAAGCACTCTCTCAAACTCTGTCCTATCAACACTCTGTCCAAGACCTACCTAAGCACTCTCTCTCAAACTCTGTCCTATCAACTCAAGACCTACCTAAGCACTCTCTCAAACACTGTCCTATCAACTCAAGACTTACCTAAACTCTCTCAAACTCTGTCCTATCAACTCAAGACCTAGTCCTACTCAACTCAAGACCTACCTGAGCACTCTCTTTCAAACTCTCTCCTATCAACACAAGACCTACCTAAGCACTCTCTCAAACTCTGTCCTATCAACTCGAAGACCTACCCAAGCACTCTCTCAAACTCTGTCCTATCAACACAAGACCTACCTAAACTCTCTCAAACTCTGTCCTATCAACTCAAGACCTACCTAAGCACTCTCTCAAACTCTGCTCGCTCTCTCTGTGCCTGCACTGCAAGGTAGTGCTCCTTCTGGGACATCTGCATACTGCGAGCATCCTTGAGCAGTGCTTCCATGTCTGCCTTCTTCTGGGCTTCGGCTGCCTCCTTCTTGAGCCACTCTCGCTCAGCTTGCTCCTGAGCACGCTTGGCTCGTAAAGCATCCCGCTCTGCCTGCTCGTCTCTCGCTCGCTCCTGCAAGGCTCGAAGTCTGGCAACTTCACGCTCCTTCTCGATGCGAATTCTTTCTTGCTCCTTTTCAAAAGCGGCTTCTCGCTCCTAAAGAACACACAACAGGGAGAGAAGCATGTTAGTTTTCATGAATGTAGTTGGGCTCTTATACAAGATGTGCACTTTGGAATTTAGCTGTGCTAAAAGAAGATTGTTGATCTATCTTCAAATAAGTAACCCTATTCTTAGATAATCACCATTGTAATTTAGAATATATTCCCGTTCCTTTTCATTGAGATTGGTAATGACATTTTCCATTATTTAATCCCAAGGTTTGTGCTGTGAGTCATACAGTTGGCTTGTTCGTATGTTTATTCCCAATGTGCTTAATTTGTTTACTTCTGTTAAAGAACAATAACAAACAGGACAAACTGGTCGTTGTTTTCTTTTTTTAATCATTGTGGGTCCTTTGTGTGAAGACAGTTGTAACTCCCAGAATTTAACGCAAACTTAAATAATCGAATAATCAGCTTCAATTATTGATCTGCATGCTGTTAGAGATAACCAGCACTAACTGTAGGACATCCCTTCGTGAGTGAGTGAGTTACGCAGGGCTCCAGATAACTTTTGGGGTTGCAAGTGTACTTACACGTCATATTGCAAGTGGAGGTGTACTGAGAATTTTGAAGGAGTACTGACATGTTTTTGTGTGAGTGAGTTGGTGATGTGGTTTGTCTGGACAATTCATCGATCACTATTTCCAACCATGTATTTGTATTTAAAGATGAGTGAGAAATAACTGAGCGACCGTGTGATGCACGAAATGTCAGGTCCGACTGGATATAAATAGGAACAGTGTAGTTTTTAGCCAATCGAAAAATTGTGACGCATATCGTTGCATGGCAACGCAAGGGATTCCTACTGTTGGGGTTTCCTCGGGTATAATCGTGTTTCGCAAAAGAAACTTGACAAGTATTTATCCGAAATAGATTTCCATTTGCACGATACGCACGGAAATTAAATGTTAGAGGTATTTATGTGCGTACACGATACGCTTGAAATCTTATATTATGTCATTGATTTTGAGGCATACATTACGCCTGTACGCCCCTTATCTGTAGCCCTGGTTAAGTTTTACGCTGGTTTTAGCAATATTCCATCAATATGGCGGGGAACACCAGAAATGGGCTTCACACATTGTACCCATGTGGGGGAAGGAAAAACAGCGACGAGCAAACCCTTTAACCACTGGGCTACCCCACCACCCCAAATTGGCACTGAACATCACAAGCAGACTGTCGAAAATCTTGATCTACAAATATTGCGTCTTGAACTATCTGAGTGGCTAAAGTGGAACCGTGTTTTGACAGTTGGTACTCACAGCCTTCTGTCTCTGGTATTCCAGCACTTTCAGTTCCTCTGCTTGCTCTTGCAGTTTCTTGACATCTCGGCGCCGGATGATTTCATCGTTAGCCTTGTTGAGCTCCTCCTGGGAAAGACATAAGATTCATTGATACAATGTTGACACCACAGCAGTTTACAAATTGTACTTACTGAAGCAAGTAATTCAAAGACCAACAGGTACCTGGTCACCAGTCTACACCCTTCCTCCATCTGGTCACAGTCTACACCCCTCCTCCATCTGGTTACAGTCTACACCACTACACCCCTCCTCCATCTGGTCACAGTCTACACCCTTCCTCCATCTGGTCACAGTCTACACCCCTCCTCCATCTGGTTACAGTCTACACCACTACACCCCTCCTCCATCTGGTCACAGTCTACACCCCTCAATCTGTCAACTCAACTGACACTGAGCTATGTCTACCACCTTCAACCCGACCCACTCACCCTGAGATCTGTCAACTCAACTGACACTGAGCTATGTCTACCCCCTTCAACCCGACCCACACACCCCTCAATCTGTCAACTCCACTGGCACTGAGCTATGTCTACCACCTTCAACCCGACCCACTCACCCTGAGATCTGTCAACTCAACTGACACTGAGCTATGTCTACCACCTTCAACCCGACCCACTCACCCTGACATCTGTCAACTCAACTGACACTGAACTATGTCTACCCCCTTCAACCCGACCCACTCACCCTGAGATCTGTCAACTCAACTGACACTGAACTATGTCTACCCCCTTCAACCCGACCCACTCACCCTGAGATCTGTCAACTCCAGTGACACTGAACTATGTCTACCCCCTTCAACCAAACCCACTCACCCTGAGATCTGTCAACTCAACTGGCACTAAACTATGTCTACCCCCTTCAACCAAACCCACTCACCCTGAGATCTGTCAACTCAACTGACACTGAGCTATGTCTACCCCCTTCAACCCAACCCACACACCCTGAGATCTGTCAACTCAACTGACACTGAGCTATGTCTACCCCTTTCAACCTGACCCACTCACCCTGAGATCTGTCAACTCCACTGACACTGAGCTATGTCTACCCCTTCAACCCGACCCACTCACCCTGAGATCGGTCTGCTCTGCCTTCCTCTTCTCCTTCATGTCCTGGTCTTCCTCCATGAGCTTGCCGATGTACTTCTGCATCTGTATGTTCTCCTGGTCCTTCCTCTCCAGCTCAAACAGACGTTCCTGCTCGTTCTCCTGGATCTGTTCCATCAGCTTGGCCGCCCCAATCAGTTGCTCGTCCTTCTTCTTTCTCTCGATCTCCTCCTGGATGCGGATGGCGTTCTGTCTGTCCACCTCCATCATGATGTCCAGCCTCTTCTCTTCATCCGTCATCTCCCTCTTCACCTGACCTTTCTCCAGGATCTGAGCATCCCGGATAGCATGACACTTGGCATTCAGGATAAGCTGGAACCATGGAACAGCATGTTATACAACAATACAACACAGGTGGGTAGGGCATACATCACTGTAAACAACAATACAACACAGGTGGGTAGGGCTTACATCACCTTATACAACAATACAACACAGGTGGGTAGGGCTTACATAACTTCATACAACAATACAACACAGGTGGGTGGGGCTTACATCACTGTATACAACACAGGTGGGTGGGGCTTACATCACTGTATACAACACAGGTGGGTGGGGCTTACATCACCTTATACAACAATACAACACAGGTGGGTGGGGCTTACATCACCTTATACAACAATACAACACAGGTGGGTAGGGCTTACATAACTTCATACAACAATACAACACAGGTGGGTGGGGCTTACATCACTGTATACAACACAGGTGGGTGGAGCTTACATCACTTCATACAACACAGGTGGGTGGGGCTTACATCACTGTATACAATACAACCGGTGGGTGGGGCTTACATCACTTTAAACAACAATACAACACAGGTGGGTGGGGCTTACATCACTATACAACAAAACAACCCAGGTGGCTTACATCACTTTAAACAACAATACAACACAGGTGGGTGGGGCTTACATCACTGTATACAACAATACAACACAGGTGGGTGGGGCTTACATCACTTTATGCAACAATACAACCGGTGGGTGGGGCTTGTATCACTTTATACGACAATACAACACAGGTGGGTGTGGTTTACATCACTTTATACAACAATACAACCGGTGGGTGGGGCTTGTATCACTTTATACGACAATACGACAATACAACACAGATAGGTAACAACAACTTCCATCTCTTAACATCTTTTGGTATGATGAAGATAGCGATCAAACCATCGATCATTCTCTCTCCGGAGACAAAATGCAACACGGGCATTCTTCAATACTACACAGGCATTCTTCAATACTACACAGGCATTCTTCAATACATCACAGGTATTCTTCAATACAGCACAGGCAGTTTTCAACACAACATAGGCATTCTTCAATATAACACAGGCCAGACACTTTGCAAGTGGCATTGATAATGATAACCATTACTGTAAGAAAACAAACATCCATAACATGAAGACAAGTAATCACTAAGTATGACCTCAGCACCTGACCTCATTGAGATGCTTGATCTCATCCTCCTGTTCCTGCCTCATCTCGTTTGCCTTGGAAAGAAGATGCTCAGCCTTGTCCTTGGCCTCCTCCTCAAGGTCGTTCAGCTTCTCATTTCTCTGTCTGGCCAGGTCCATGGATTTCATGTAATTCTTCCTCTCCTGGGCTGCATCCTACAACACAAAACACATCTTACATCGGGGAAGTTACTAAGGCAAAAAAATATATATGTGTTTTCGGTTTCCCGACCGACCCTATCAGAAACTTCCCGACCCTAAACAGTTTTTTTCGGTTTTTTAAAAGACGGCAAAACATTTTACTATTCCAACAGTATGTACTTCCCAATGTTGGGGGCGACCATATGTGACCTGTCAGGGATGGCAATAGGAAAATCTATTTTCAGCTGAAAGCTTAATATTGTGCCATCGAGTTGAGGGTTTCTCAATGGATTTAGACGATTCACAATTGAACAATTTGAAATAAAATCAGCGGAAATCTGCGGATCAGCGGAAAATTGCCATTCCTGCCTGTGCTCACTTACTCTTGTTTTTCATAAATGTGAAATCTAGAAAGTGTTGATGCTTCAGTTATTAAAATTCTAAACTGGTTTCCGCTCTTTTCTTCAAAACTGGCGCCTGATATTACATAAATATGTGATTTTATGAAAAATATGCGAGTGCATTTAAAAAAAAATGAAAGAAAATAAGGAGATTAACCCTACCTACCGACCCTGTTTTATAATTTCATGTTACCCTAAACACACATACGCGTATTTCTTTGGGGGGGGGCCTAAGGGAAGTCATCAAGCAGTACACAGAGTGAGTGAGTCGCTTTTATCAATATTCCAGCAATATCATGGCGGGGGTCACCAGCAATATCACAGCGGGGGTCACCAGAAATGGGCTTCACGCATTGTACCCATGTGGGGAATCGAACCCGGGTCTTCGGCGTGAGGAGCAAACGCTTTACCCAGTAGGCTACCCCACCGCCCCCAGTACACAGAGACTGGAAGGCCTAGAGCATGGTGTGACCTCTGTATGTCACCATGGAATTCACTCATGAAGAACCGGGTTAGAATTGGTCTTCAGCAACCCATGCTTGTCGTAAGAGACGACTAACCGGATCGGGTTGTCAGGTTCACTCACTTGGCTGATCACTGGATTATCTTGTCCAGACTCGATCATTTACAGACCGAATTGTTGAGTGTGGCGTTATACAACAACAACCAATCTAATAGAAAAGAAGAATCTCTGGTCCGCACGTCACAAAGAGCTACGACGTTCGTTTCTCTATGTTAATGTAATGGGAGCTAATAACCCCTCTCTCCCCCGACATTTTTTTCTCTGAGGAGCATTTCCCCCTAACCCTTGGACTTCATGATTTATGTACACCCCTGCTTCTCCAAAATCCTGGATCCGGCCCTGGAAAACCAATTCTTCACAGGGCTTTCCATTAGAATATTGTGATTTATTTTAAAGAAGACTTTTTTCTGAAATAAATTACCAAAGCAGCTTCCTTTGCCATCTTGACTGAATCACTGTGAGCCTCTTTCTCAGCTTTGGAAAATGTGCGAGCTCCTTGAAGTATTCTATCAAAGTCTCTTCTGGACAGAATCATGGTTTGACCAGATGGATCTTCTGTGGGGACACTGAAGTAGACAAAATACAAGATAAAGGTGAGACAGATCTTCTGTGGGGACACTGAAGTAGACAAAATACAAGATAAAGGTGAGACAGATCTTCTGTGGGGATGCTGAAGTAGACAAAATCATGATAAAGGTGAGACAGATCTTCTGTGGGGATGCTGAAGTAGACAAAATCATGATGAAGGTCTTCAGCAAGACAAACGGACACTTTAACCACTACACTACCCGCACCACCCCTCATTCAATAGAAAAGCTGTAAGTTGTAATACTTAACGATGAATAAGTATTCTTACATGAGATTTCGGATGAGATCCTTTGTGATGACCTGCACTGTTTCTCGGTTGCTGGGTTTTCCTTTTCTACGTTTGTCGTTCCTCTGTTTGGCCAGGGTTTCCAGTGAAACATCCTGTGTCCTCTCTCCATTCCACATGTCCTTCAACATCTCATTCCTCTTGGCCACTCGGCTGGGCTGACCGAACAACGACTCATCAACCTGGGATGTGTTACTGATCACTCGATACTGCCGGGTTTTTGCTCTCTTTGATGAAGAGGATGACGAAGCATTGGAGACTGAGATAGAGCTGCCAGGCTGCAAACAACATCAACACGTAAAACATCGTAATTTTACTCAGATGATGCAGAAACAAAATCTAGTATCAAACATTATTGTTTTAAATGATTTTTTATACAAAATGCTTCAATGACATCTACATTTTCACATCCAGACAATATTTTGGTTGCTGCATGACCAATCAGTTCATGAATGATTCTTGAATTTACTGTTTATTTATTGTAAAATAAACTCAATATGGATAGGATATTTATATAGCGCACATATCCATGCATCAAGTACATGTCATTGTGGCCAACAATGTCTTAATCCTTTTGAGCACCCCTTCAGAAATCAAATGTTCATGATTGTAATCTCTGACAACTCATGACTGTAATCTCTGACAACTCTGAGAGTTAACTAACATCAACAATCTCCAGCAATATTATGTTTACTTTTTCTAGTTTGACATTATTTGCCATAAGAATAAGATTTGAATGAATTCAACAATGAAGTCAAACCTTAGAGTGGTTTTATGTTAAGCCATATAGGGAGCTATACAAATTTTGCATATTATCAAATTTTGCATGTTATAAGATAATCTAAATGATACACCAATATCATGTACAATCTTTATGAACTTAGTATGTTATTTTTATCCATACGAGTAAACAAGGGTCATACTGAACACAACATGTACACATGCATATATTTTACTCAGATACCAATTGATTGTTAATAACAAAATAAGCGAGAATGTTATTAACTGGGTAATGATACCAAGCTGGGATACTGGATGCCTTCTCCCATAATTGTAGGGTTTGTGCACAAACTCCTTCCTTAGTAACCATTTCTAACATTTTTAGCTGACTTGTTAAAGTAACAGTTGGATGGCTCCCTACACAACAACTTGAAACGAATGCAATCATAAGCAAAATGTCTTTTACTTCAAACTTGAAGAAATTTACCGTAAGACTACAGAATACCAGATAGCTTCCGCCATCTTTGAAAGCATGCAAGTATACTTAGGGTTAGGGTAAGGTTAAGGGTTAGGGTAAGGTTTAGGGTAAGGGCTAGGGTGAAAATGACATTAAACAATATGGCTGGTATGTATTCTGTAGGTGTACCAAATTTGGAAAGACTTCCGCCCATATCCCCCCCTTAAATTTCATTCTAGTCAAATCATATCACCTGAATATATATTGTTCATCTGATGAGGTTTAACATGTTTCTTTAATTGTATCTGAACATACTGATGGACATATATAACTTCTAAAAATGCCTCTCAGAGAAATTTTTCCTCATCGTTGAAATCAAGGGGGGATACGGTCGAGTCTTACCCCAAATTTACTGAAGTATCTGTTGAAGAATGGGCTTTGAAACACGGCCCTAATGGATATCACCGATGAGGTTGTTTCAGGTCTTTATGGAACTTCTATTTTTTAAACATTTTTCCATAATGGCTGTTTGAATCATGAAATTCTTTTCATTGATTAATGATAAAAATACCAATGTGACTGCATATTCTTTCTTCCACAATGTCATTGAGCTTCACTGCAAACAAGGTAGGTAATATAAGTTCTATCAGACTATCAGAGTATGACCTAAATAACCTTAAACGTCAGGCGGATAGCCTGTTGAAGCCAAGAAGGTGACAGTGATCAACCTGGGGCAGCTATCATTATGTCAGTTCAGAGCTGGGGCCAATTTGACACCTATCTGAAATTCTGTCAGTCCCAAGGCTGTTGGAATTCAAATATATAGATCCGTACCCGTACCCGTACCCTAGTTACGGATTAAGTACAGGTCGGTTGAAAAGGGTGAGAACAGTGCGACATGAAATAATAATCGTTATATAAAAGCTTATGCGGAACGAACGCAACAACCAGAATGAGAATAGCTAGTAAAAATTCACACATGCCCCGATAAAAGACCAAACCTAACAGTAATGAGTAACATACACAAGACCGTCACCGTGAGATATAACATCAATAAATGTAACATCTTAAGTAAACCATCGCAAAATTAGATGACATTGTATACATGACCATATACTTACCATGATTGTTCAATATGTAATTATGATTCCGCCCCTTAACCGTGTTTACACCCCGTTCTTTTCCCCAAATGTTCTCAGTTTCACCATTCGTTGTCCTGCAAGTTATTTACATCGATCGTAACCATGGACACTGGGCATGCGCGAGGCCGCCTTTCCGGCTTGAGGCAAGAGTAGACAACTCTCATCTGACAGCCAAGTTCCGGCAACGAAAATGGCAACCAACACGTGCAGAACAGCACAGTTACTTCTAAGGAATACTTACCTGCGGAAACGATGGTCTAGTAAGCATTTAGTCGCACGAATACCAAGTATCATTTCTAAATGCAGATTAGACACTACAATTTGATTTCTGCATCTTTGATTCTGGTTTTGACCATCAATTAGCCACTGCTGTCGCTGTCAAAACACAATCAATCCATCGTGATGTGATGTAAAAATGTAATTTGTGGTGCTGAATTCTGGAGGGTGGTCACAAAACCACTTGCTGAATGACCCCAGTTAGTGCTAGAAACTGAAATGGGTGAAAACTTTTGGCATATGTTTGCATGTTTACACAAAGAGTCTAGGGATGTGGATGAAGTCTTGAAGATGCTTTCAAAATGAAATGCATCAAGTCTCAACTATGAAGCGAGTTGAATTTCAGGAGAGACAACCATCACCATGATCACATGTGTCAGTGTATTTATTTTCTCTGTTTGATCACTGATTGTCAGAAAATATACTTTAAACAGAGATTTTTAGTGAAAGGTCACATGCAACCAAAAAATCAAACATAATTAAAACGCAATTATCACTTATTCATGACATATAATATATAGAGCTGTGAAGATATATTGTAGTATTGTAGTATCGATAATCGTTAAAATGCCACTCAAACAAGTGATACTTTTTCTGACTATAAATATATTGATACTTTTCTCCGTATCGTGATATGTATCGTTGACCTTAAAATTGTGAATTTTGACAAGAAATTTACAGTTATGTCAAAATTTACACTGTTTCTTGTTATCAAAATACAATTTTTTACATATCGTGATATGCATCGTATCGAATTGTATCGTTCCCTAATATCGCGATACGTATCGTATCATGAAATTTCTGTATCGTCACACCTCTAATAATATACATTACTGATTATGAAAAGACATATAAACAAAATTATAAGCGTACAATCGCAAATCAAAAGTGCAATATTTTGTACTTGGGTTTACTTCCCAACAAACGAAGCAGCCGGGATACCGAACCCAGTCAGAGCGGGTGGGTGTGCACTCAAGTGTAACGAGGACTTCCACTGCCTGGTTCATTTGCCGATGCCCTTATGGCTCATTGTGTGTGTGTATATAGAGATGTTGGGTTTTGTAAATACATGCTCAATTTTTGTGAATAAGATTTTGCAATCAACAGACATCATAACATGTTATGTGTACAAGTATCACACCTGCCTGTCTGTGTAATTACATAATATGACAGAGACTGATCTCGGGCCATAAATCAATGCGTTTTGTTTATGGTGTATGGCCTGATAGGTGTTAAGTTCAAATTTCATGTGGTCAGTGATCGAAGTTGTGTATTGAAGATTGTCATTAGCAGACAGGCAGGCAGACACATAGGTGTCAATAAAACAAGACATTGAGTTTTGTCTGTGACAACGACATATCTATATCAACTGAGAAAGTGACTTGGTAAGAAGAACGTGTGGTGAAATAGACAAATGAAATTATATAAACAGTTAAATCGGTAATCTACTGTCATAACATATAAAAAGCCCGTGCCTGTGAAATATCAACAAAACATTAGAAAAATAGCTCACATCAAAGCCTTCACTGAGTATTCACTGCCAGCGAAGGTTTTCCATCTTGAAATGTCGAATGCCTCACTGGTGACACATAGCTGAGTAGATCTAGATCCTAACAAGGTTCTTTATGTAATGAGTAGATTATTTGCTATTTGTTTTAATTAGACTACTCCTGCTCATGACCTTATATTAAATCCGGACAACCCGCTTCCAAGCTGCATGAACCTATTTCACTGCCCATGCGCTATGAGCGCAGCACAGCTGTTGAAACCACTTTTCACCCCAAGCTGGGGTGAATCGTTTGAACTCTGATTTGAGGGGTTTTTTTCATTGCGTTACAGGGCTCCAGATAAGGGCCGTATCGGCGTATGTTCAGATAAAAAACATGCACGATACGGTAGGAAATAAATTAGAAAACGTAGCAGATACGCACCACAGCAATGGTGTACGGTGTTAGGACGTACATATATGAAAAAGTATTGTTTTATTGTTTATTGACCTATTTACACAAGACTAGCAATGCTGTGGTGCATATATGAAACAAAACACAAGATTACTGATACGCCATTAAATTCCGTTCAGTATTCTAAATGTACTCTTAAGTTTTCCAGTACTCCGATATTGAACAAATAAGGAGTACGTACTCCCTCATGTTGAAAAATTATCTGGAGCCCTGTCGTTATTTTTCAACTTTAAACGTTGAATTTGCATTTTTGAAGATTTGTATCTGTAAGTCCATAGTGAAAGGTATCAGAATCTGCAAAGTTGTGTTTTACGTTGCATGTGACCTTTAAGGATTGTCAATATGCTGGACAGGCATGTATTAAGTATACTGCCGACCGAACAGTTATCGCAATATTTTAGCGGTATTTACACAATTACTCCGCCGCTCATTAAATTAATGAAACAAAATTAATCATGATACTTAAATAGCTATTAACCAATGTGTCTAGCCTGTTCACTGCCGCCGATCATGTTTTTATATAACATGGCGGAAGGGAATCATTGCAGTATAAATAAATGTTTTCTCACAACTAACTGTAACAGTTATCGCCATTTGGAATTTCTCATGCCACTCGTGAAATAATATATATATATTTATATCATTCAGGAACCTTGAATAATTAATTGTGTGACTATTTGAGTGTTTCTTTTACAGTAGATTGATAGGGAATGAAACAATTAATAATTTGATGACTTGTGAACTTGAATTTGCTATTACAAACATTACATAGGTCATGGACATTCCCTTGACTTAGTTAAAGTTTTGTTAGAGGGTTCATTATCTTTCATTTTTCTCTTATGATACTTACTGTGTAAAAAATTTCTTTTGTTGTCCTTTAGGCTTTATGATGTTTATTGTTGTCAAATACCGTGGGGGGAAAAGTACGGGAATTGTAATTGACCGGAACTGCAGATGTGTGATACTGATGTATTGGCCATAACTGTTCACTAGCCAGTATATATTTTCCAGTTTCTTGAAATACGATGAATATTTATAATGGTCCTACATGAGGAGCTCTAAATGATCAAGTGTATTGCGTGACCGTGTTACAACTGGTTGGGTCTATTATTGTGAAGGGGTGCACCTTTGTCAGTTGATTGTCAACATGACCAAACAGCCGAGACAAGGTCGCCGCTTGACATCTCAGTGTCGAGAAATCGTCAGCAATGTCCTAACTTTCTTTAAAAAAGAAGCTACAGATAGTTTAATGTTTCCGATTCGGGCTTTTAGGCATTATTAACATTCGCTGCTCCCCCATTTTATGAAATTAACTCGACCTGCCGTTTGTGCCATTTGACCTCCCGGGTCATGCATATGTACAGTAGCTCAGGTCAAGCTGAACACCCTTACACATATGCAATGTATCTGAATGTCTGATTAATCCCTAATTTAATTTTCGTTTCAGGATCCTTTTGTGCACAGACCAAGTTATCAAATGCTGAAATCAGGAAGAAAAGAAATGCAATATTTGATGAAGAAAAAAAGAGGCAACTGTCTCTGATCAGGCGGATTGAGAAGATTCAGGTGGAGTATGTCGGCCCCCCTGATGACTGCTCCCTTGTAATGAACCGAGGCCTCTCCACGCCCTTCAACTGTGCCATGCGTATGTGGATGATGGCTTTATTCCTCCTTTTCCAGATAGATTCGTGCAAAATTCCTATTTGAACATAGAAAAAATGTTATAAAAGCCTCTTAGATATTTGGCTCTTTTGAGTTTCAATAGGTTCTCAATATGCTGCATGACATATTGATATATCAATAATTAATAAAATGTATTATTATGATCAATTATTCAGAGGCCCAGATAAGCTGGGCGATCCAGGTAAAATAGGCATAGAAAATTTCCAATTGGCGCATTGAAAAATAATTGTTTAGCATTACCAACCACGCGATTTAAAATGTTAGATACACAAACAGTTTGAAACAAATGCTTATGGAATATATTTATAAAAATCGCCATGAATGAAAAAGAAATCGATTGCTATCAAGTTGTACTGTTAGTATAGGACTAGTGTTGTATTGTCAGTATAGGATGAGTGATTTTTGATGAAATAATTTCCATTATATATAAGTTGGTTTTGATTAGGTATGACATAAGGCAAAACATACCTGCTTAGTAAACTTACTCAATGACATAATACTTAGGTGAGTAAAATGACTGAAATACGCACATATTTGAAAGCAGTGGGTAAGGAAAATGAAATACCCACTCAACATTCATAATACCCACTCCAAAAAAATACAGTGGGTCCAGTACAGTACCCACATGAGCTAAATCTTATCTGGACCTCTGATTATTAATAAAAGTAATAATGCAATTAGTTATTCTGCATGTTTAGGCTGGCTAAAAAGATTGATAATCAGAAATATTGTGACTGGAAAGAAATCATGAACGATTATCGATAGGAAAATTATGGTATTGAGAATATCGTACATAGATTTTGTGATGAAATATAGTTTTAGTTTACTCACACAATGCACAAAGTTAGATCTGAACTTGTGACTGCATTTATTCGTTTTCGGTACATAAAGTGATGATCCATAAGATATCTAAAATTCAATTCCTGCCTCTTCTGTGTCAGTCTTGCCAATGATGTTTTTAATATATTACAGTAAATTATTATTTAGTATTACTGCTCAGTCTAAGTAAACTTAGGCTCAGTATTATTCGTTACACTGCTGTACAGTCTAAGTAAACTTAGGCTCAGTATTATTCGTTACACTGCTGTACAGTCTCAGTAAACTTAGGCTCAGTATTATTCGTTACACTGCTGTACAGTCTAAGTAAACTTAGGCTCAGTATTATTCGTTACGCTGCTGTACAGTCTAAGTAAACTTAGGCTCAGTATTATTCGTTACACTGCTGTACAGTCTAAGTAAACTTAGGGTCAGTATTATTCGTTACACTGCTGTACTGTCTAAGTAAACTTAGGCTCAGTATTATTCGTTACACTGCTATACTGTCTAAGTAAACTTAGGCTCAGTATTATTCGTTACACTGCTATACTGTCTAAGTAAACTTAGGCTCAGTATTATTCGTTACACTGCTGTACAGTCTAAGTAAACTTAGGCTCAGTATTATTCGTTACACTGCTGTACAGTCTAAGTAAACTTAGGCTCAGTATTATTCGTTACACTGCTATACTGTCTAAGTAAACTTAGGCTCAGTATTATTCGTTACACTGCTGTACAGTCTAAGTAAACTTAGGCTCAGTATTATTAAGCAAATTACACTGCTATACTGTCTAAGTAAACTTAGGCTCAGTATTATTCGTTACACTGCTGTACAGTCTAAGTAAACTTAGGCTCAGTATTATTCGTTATACTGCTGTACAGTCTAAGTAAACTTAGGCTCAGTATTATTCGTTACACTGCTGTACAGTCTAAGTAAACTTAGGCTCAGTATTATTCGTTACACTGCTATACTGTCTAAGTAAACTTAGGCTCAGTATTATTCGTTACACTGCTGTACTGTCTAAGTAAACTTAGGGTCAGTATTATTCGTTACACTGCTGTACAGTCTAAGTAAACTTAGGCTCAGTATTATTCGTTACACTGCTGTACTGTCTAAGTAAACTTAGGCTCAGTATTATTTGTTACACTGCTGTACAGTCTAAGTAAACTTAGGTTCAGTATTATTCGTTACACTGCTGTACTGTCTAAGTAAACTTAGGCTCAGTATTATTTGTTACACTGCTGTACAGTCTAAGTAAACTTAGGCTCAGTATTATTCGTTACACTGGTGTACTGTCTAAGTAAACTTAGGTTCAGTATTATTCGTTACACTGCTGTACTGTCTAAGTAAACTTAGGGTCAGTATTATTCGTTACACTGCTGTACAGTCTAAGTAAACTTAGGGTCAGTATTATTCGTTACACTGCTGTACAGTCTAAGTAAACTTAGGCTCAGTATTATTCGTTACACTGCTGTACTGTCTAAGTAAACTTAGGCTCAGTATTATTCGTTACACTGCTGTACAGTCTAACTAAACTTAGGCTCAGTGTTATTCGTTACACTGCTATACTGTCTAAGTAAACTTAGGCTCAGTATTATTCGTTACACTGCTGTACTGTCTAAGTAAACTTAGGCTCAGTATTATTCGTTACACTGCTGTACAGTCTAAGTAAACTTAGGCTCAGTATTATTCGTTACACTGCTGTACTGTCTAAGTAAACTTAGGCTCAGTATTATTCGTTACACTGCTGTACTGTCTAAGTAAACTTAGGCTCAGTATTATTCGTTACACTGCTGTACAGTCTAACTAAACTTAGGCTCAGTGTTATTCGTTACACTGCTGTACAGTCTAAGTAAACTTAGGCTCAGTGTTATTCGTTACACTGCTATACTGTCTAAGTAAACTTAGGCTCAGTATTATTCGTTATACTGCTGTACAGTCTAAGTAAACTTAGGCTCAGTGTTATTCGTTACACTGGTGTACTGTCTAAGTAAACTTAGGCTCAGTGTTATTCGATACACTGCTATAGTGAGTCTAACAAAACCTAGTAGAAGGTTGTGTCAGCTAACCTTTTGGACTGACCAATCAAAGCTTACCAAATCGCGAAAGTTAACATTCGCTCATACCGTTTGAACCTTTACCTAAAAAACTTGAACGATTCCGAATGCTATTTCCCGCACGATCGCTCCCGAGTGATAAACGCAATGAGTAAACAGTTGCTGAAAATAGCGTTGTTTGTCAATATTCAAGGATGTCATCTTGCGAAAATATAAGCAAATAGTAACCATGTCATTAGAAACCCATAAGCGTATATACTGCAGGTCAAATGTCTGTGTTTTATGAGGATTTTCGTTTAGTGACAGATCAGTGTCAGCGACCAGGGAAGAGAAAATCCAAAAACCGTTTTGTCAGTCCCGCCGAACCCTTACAAGTAGTCGTTGTCTGATTGGTTAAATCCGTTTGGCCGTCTTGCATTTGATTGGACGGTCATAGGTGGCTCAAAGGGTACCTGACGCGACCTTCTACTAGGTTTTGTTAGACTCAGTATAGCAGTGTAACTGAGCCTAAGTTTACTTAGACTGTATTAATGCTAAATACATTTTCAGTAAACTTTTACGATACATTTAATACTGTGTGAGTGAGTATGATTTTATGCCGATATTAGCAATATTCCAGCAATATCACGGGACACCAGAAATGGGCTTCACACGTTGTACCCATGTGGGGAACCTTGATCTTCCATGTGATGAGGGGCAGTGGGGTAGCCTAGTGGTTAAAGCATTGGCTTGTCATGGCGATGACCCGGGTTCGATTCCCCACATTGGCACAATGTGTGAAGCCCATTTCTGGTGTCCCCCGCCGTGATATTGCTGGAATATTGCTAAAAGCGGCGTAAAACTAAAGTCAGTCAGTCAGTCAGTCCATCTGATGAGCAAATGCTTTAACCACTAGGCTACCCCACCGCCCCCATTAATACTGAGATGTACGATAACATCCTAAATGTGAAGTAAGCACACCCAGAGTTTTACCTGTAATCTATTGTCAGCCATACGGTGGAATAGTGATGATGAATAATTAATAGATATTTTCCCTTTCTTTCATATTGTTTAGGACTAGCTATCGACATAGATCATACAGATCAATAATCGTTAACAAAATATCAATCGATTATTGATAAATATCAGAGACGTAACTTTGAGCAAATTGCCAAACATGTTCAAAAGAAATAAATATATTCACATTGCTGGTGAGAGTCAGCATGCTTTAGTATGGATTATTTGCAAAACAGATTCCTGAACAAAATTAGGAGGCAGACCAAGAATAACGTCTTAAATTTGCATATTGTGTGAGAAAATGAAAACTTTTTCTGTCACAAAATTTAATTTACGATAGTATCGATAACACAATTTTCATATCGATAATCATTAATAATTATTTCTGTTTATTAATTATTTTAGCCATCCCCATATTTTTTAGGACTGATTGAATTTTTGTAATTTATAATATTTTTGTAAATCCTAATTGTAAAAGGCCATCAGAGCTTTGTTTGAAAATTTCGTTCTGCTGTCTTTCTGTCAGTATAAACCCTTTGAAATATGTCGTGAATCTCCAGATATACAGGAACTGCTAATGACCCGGTCAGCCCTGGCCTTGGTAAATGGTCAACCGTGGGACATGCATCGGCCTCTTGAGGCGGACTGTCAGGTTCAGTTTCTGCACTTCCGTGACGAGGATCCGCGGATACTCAACGATGTGAGTTGCACTTAGTACTGATGCAATTAGGATTATTGTTAAGCTGAAAGTAATACTGTAATCGTAGTTATTTTTGCGCGGGATTAATTTTAGCACTTTTAGCGCAAAATGATTGTGCGTCAATAATCATACCAAGCGAAATATTCATGGTCAAGTCATGACAAATACTCAAGTAGGAACAACATGCAATTTGTTTATTCTCTCAGATAACAACATCAAAACAATCTACAAAGGAATAGAGGCACATACTAGTCTACTAGTAATAGCGATCACAATCAGCAAATGTTTAATATCAGTTTGTCAGTTAATTGATAGCTGATTACCCGTAATCACAAAATGAACGAAGCTCACTTACATCAGTCACAAATCACAATGTTGACACAAGTATAATCCCACCTCTCTCTGATTGTTTTAGTAAACACGATTAAATTATGGCGGCTAGCTTTGATCATTGCATGTCTATGGGTTGTGAAAACTTTGTGATGGACACCACCACTCAGGTGTTTGACATGCGCGAAAAAACTACTGCGCTTATAGGTCTTTTGTGAACTTTCCGCGAAAAATTGCACCCAGTGAAAATATATACGATACAGTATTTAAACACCTTAATTTAGAAAACTTGTGGGTGTTAAGTTAACTGTTTAACTCGGCATGTGTTATATATTTTGCCGTGATTTACCTTTGGATATAAGACCTATTTCTTAAAATGTTTATTTGAGCCCATAAACATGGTAAAGGAGTAGCCTAGTGGATACAGGGGTTCAAATATCCCATCACCCGACGCCCGGGACAAGTCAGTTTTCATTTCGGGCAATCAAATAATGATATCTTACTTGTCCGTGGGCTACTAGATAATTTCCACTTACGGTTTCAAACTGCAAATAAACTTGGATTTAATTTCATATCTGCTCAAAATGTAGCTTTTTTTCTTTCTTAATTACATCATCATAATTATGTCATAAAATCAAGGGCAAGTGGAAAATTAGTCAGGACAAGTTACTTTCTTGATTTTTATTCGACTTCAAATTGAGGGTTGAAGGGGAAGGACATATATGTCCCTGTGGCAGCCAGGGGGTTAAAAAAAATTGAACCCTTGGGATAAAGTGTTCTCTAATCATACCAGACAACCTGGTTTGATTCCCCACATGGGTGCAATGTGTAAAGTCCATTACTAATGTCTCATAATCTTGCTGGAATGCTGCTAAGAGCAGCACAAGACCCTTTTCACTCTTTTAAACTTAAGGACTGAGGGTACTCAACTTTGGCTGTTATTTTTTTCAATAAGGTGATGTATACTATTTTCTGTCAGTCCAAACATCTGTCATCGAGTGACTTCCCCCTTCGTTGACTACACATACATGTGATCTACAGTACCTTGGTGCCAGATGATCTACAGTAGCTTGGTGCTAGATGATCTACAGTACCTTGGTGCTAGAACTCAAAATAGGGAGTTTAATTCTAGAAACATGTTGGACTATTTCTAAGGTCAGGTTGTCTCCCTTTGTTTCCAGGATCATCATGTGGTTTGAATCCCGTACTTGCCCTTATAATGATACGGGGTGTGACAGCATTAAATTTATACTGATCATGGTTTTATAAGACCTGCATTGCTTTGGGATTTTGCCTCCACATTAATCATATGTTAATGTGTTACACTGTGAAATCTTGAGTCTGCTAAACCCAACTCACTCACTCTCTCTGTCTCCAGGCTTTCTGGCGGACCTGTTCCTTCATGCTTGGTCACGTGATGGAGACAGCCTTTAAGGCCGATGTAAACGTGGATCTGGTCAGCTTTCCTAAACCATCCGGTAGGTTGTGTTTACTGTTGTAACATCGTATGATGATGATGATGATGATGATGATGATGATGATGATGATGAGCATCTTTTATCAACTACACAACAACCAAGTTTTCACTTGTTAAGGTTTTGTTCTTGAATGAACAGACATTTCACCTTGAAAACAGAATGATGAGGAATTATCTTGCTGTGACTACATGGACAGACTGAATGACTATTTGTGTTAGGAGCCATTCGCACGATTTTAAAGGGGCGGGGAATCACGATTTTAAAGGCAGCAATTTTTGTACACACATGGAATCACCCATTTTGTTCTGGGGAAGTAGAAGGTCAGCAATTTTGTACACATGTACTGGGGGTCAGCAATTATGTACACATGTACTGGGGGTCAGCAATTATGTACACGCAATTATGTACTGGGGGTCAGCAATTATGTACCCATGTATTGGGGGTCAGCAATTTTGTACACATGTACTGGGGGTCAGCAATTATTTACACATGTACTGGGGGTCAGCAATTATTTACACATCTATTGGGGGTCAGCAATTATTTACACATGTACTGGGGGTCAGCAATTATTTACACATGTACTGGGGGTCAGCAATTATTTACACATCTATTGGGGGTCAGCAATTTTGTACACATGTACTGAGGGGTCAGCAATTATGTACACATGTACTGAGGGGTCAGCAATTATTTCAGCCAATTATTTACAATGTACTGAGAGGGGTCAGCAATTTTGTACTATGTACTGAGGGGTCACAACATGTACTGAGGGGTCAGCAATTATTTACACATGTAGGGGTCGGCAATTATTTACACATGTACTGGGGGTCAGCAATTATGTACACATGTACTGGGGGTCAGCAATTATTTACACATGTACACATGTACTGGGGGTCAGCAATTATTTACACATGTACTGGGGGTCAGCAATTATTTACACATGTACTGGGGTCGGCAATTATTTACACATGTACTGGGGGTAAGCAATTATTTACACATGTACTGGGGGTCAGCAATTATTTACACATGTACTGGGGGTCAGCAATTATTTACACATGTACTGGGGGTCAGCAATTATTTACACATGTACTGTACTGAGGGGGGGGTCAGCAATTATTTACACATGTACTGGGGGTCAGCAATTATTTACACATGTACTGAGGGGTCAGCAATTTTGTACATTTGTGTACAGGGGTCAGCAATTATTTTTTACACATCTACTGGGGGGGTCTGCAATTATTTCCACATCTACTGGGGGGGTCAGCAATTATTTACACATGTACTGAGGGGTCAGCAATTGCTGCCCTCCAGTACATGTGTACAAAGTTCACATTGTACACACTTCTCCATAAAAGTCATCATTACCTCTCCTAACCATAAATTATGAACGGTCCCAAATGTCATGACATTTTATGAAGTAAGATAAAATGATCTCATCAGAACCAGAATAATGTTGTTCTAAATCTTCAATATCAAAAACGTACAAAACTCTTAAGTTTATACGTTTTTTCAACATGTTGTTTTTTTCTGGTGCAAGAATGGTATTGCACAAGGTTGCAGTAGTTGCAGATAGGTTTCATTTCCTTATAACAAGCCCTGTATGTTCTCACACGCTTGTAAACAGCAGTTGACTCAAGTTCGCTCTGATTTCGTTTGTTGTTTGATGCTGCATTCAGCAATATTCCAGCTATTAGGCGGCAGTCAGTACATAATTAAGCCTGGACCAGACAATCCAGTGATCATCAGCATGAGCATCGATCTACACAATTGGGATATGATGACGTGTCAACCAAGTCAGCGTGCCTGACCACCAGATCCTGTTAGTCGCCTCTTACGACAAGCATGGGTTACTGCAGATCAATTCTAACCCTGATCTTCACACTCAAGATGTGCATCCAGTTGGTTGGAGAAACTCTTAATCAAGGGTTTGCATAGCATCCCAGTTGTGTTTTTAAGTGTTTCTTTTAGGGCTGCAGGGTGGCCTAGTGGTTGAAGTGTTCACTCATGAAATGAGTACAAGGTTCGAAGCTCATTTCTGCTGTCGCCCGCCGTGATATTGCTAAAATATTGCTAAAAGCGGCGTAACACCATATATACACTCACACGCTCATTGCTTTTACTGCCATCAAGCTGAGATGTGTTTGTGTTCAAAGGAGGTTTATGTTATGAATTACTGTCTCAAGTACTCTTGGAGTCGGCTAAATTCAGCTCACTCGCTCTCTCTGTCTCAAGAGGATCTCTCTGTATATTAAACATTGCAAACAACCCCTTACAGCGAAATATATTATCACAACTTCTACAATATATGGTGAGAGAGAGAAAGAAGCTGTGCATCCACATATTGTCATCCTTGCTTCAACTTCTACAATATATGGTGAGAGAAAGAAGCTGTGCATCCACATATTGTCATCCTTGCTTCAACTTCTACAATATATGGTGAGAGAAAGAAGCTGTGCATCCACATATTGTCATCCTTGCTTCAACTTCTACAATATATGGTGAGAGAAAGAAGCTGTGCATCCACATATTGTCATCCTTGCTTCAACTTCTACATGCCTCCCAATGCCTTCTACAGTTGACCGCCTCCGTGGTGTAGTGGTTAGAGAGTCCGCCCGGAAAGCGGAAGGTCGCTGGTTCGATCACCGACCGCATCATACCAAAAGACATTAAGATATGGTACTTGTTGGTCCCTGCCTGGCGCTCGGCATTAATTGGTACAATAAGGACTGGTCGGCTCGGCGTCAGTATAACGTGTGTGAGTGGGGTATTCATGCTTCACTGCGGCATGGTATCTCAGTGGCTAGCACTATAAAACCAGCTAAGTCTGGGCTAGTACAAGCAGCCGCACATACACATACACACGCATGCACATCGTCATATGAGCGAAATATTCTCAAGCACGACGTAAAACCCAATTTCACCTCACCTCACCTCCCAAAGAAGTTGAGAATAAACCTGTTGTATATTTTTTAAGCTCGATTGGTTTAATAGGAACTTTTAGAAACATGAATATGGCATGTAAAATATAGTGTGAACGCAAATATGATAATGTGATATATATTCACACTTGACAAAAAGTAATGACATGTTATTAAATTATGTGAAAGAAAATCTCGATATCACGGCTTAGGCCATCCCTGTAATATTATGATTATACGAGACTGGGTGTCTCAGGCGGTTTGTTGGCATGAGGTGATGGATTTAGATGTATTTTCTATGAATGATCACGCCGAATATTGTCATGAGTGTCATGTTTGTTTTGTTTCAGTATCGAGTGGAAGCTTTGTACATGACATCAAACTGAGCCTGCATGACTGGAAACCCACCACAGTAAGTTGTTGTTGTTGCTGTGAGTGAGTGAGTGAGTTTAGCTTTACACCACTTTTAGCAATATTCCAGCAACATCATGGCAGGGGACACCAGAAATGGGCTTCACACATTGTACCCATGAGGGGAGTTGAACCCAGGTCTATGGCGTGACAAGGGAACACTGTAATCCTGTGACGAGGCAACGCTTTAATCCCGTGACGAGGCAACGCTTTAATCCCGTGACGAGGGAACGCTAGGCTACCCCGCTGCCCTGTTGTTGTTTTGTTGATGTTGTTGTTGTTGTTTACCAAAATGATTGCAATTTTTTCTTGAGGACCCAGGACCCCAAGTTTACAGAAATGATCACTGCAATTTTGTTGTTGTGGAACCCAATATGTAAACCCATCACAGTATATTGTTGTTTAGAAACCCATCACAGTATATTGTTGTTTAGAAACCCATCACAGTATATTGTTGTTTAGAAACCCATCACAGTATATTGTTGTTTAGAAACTCATCACAGTTTATTGTTGTTTAGAATTATTTTGAAAGTCAAACCTAGTTGGATATGTGTTGTCAAACCTGCTCACTCACTCACTCACTCACTCACTCACTCACCCTGTCAGTATCTCACCCACCCATCTTCCCCGACCAGAGATTGTGGATAAGCCCCACTCACTCACATGTCAGATGTCATCTGTGAGTATTTCACTGATCTGCCACTGGAATGTATGCTCCAGGTCGAACTGAACTGCCTCAGCCGTATTGCATACAAACTTCGACTAGAAGACCTCAAGTTTGAACGCCTCGAGGTCGACGCCTCAGTGGCCGAGAGGCTGTTTGAAGACAATCTGTTCAAGAAAAGTCAAGTACCACAGATTGCAGCCAAATCCGACACAGGGACAAAGGTGACCTTGTACAAGATGGGCGAGCACATCGACATGTCTCGGGGGCCACTTATATCGAGTACCAGCCACATCGGGCGGTTCAGTGTCACAGCGGTGAGTGGAGGTTTCCCGGCAAATATTGTTATAACTCAAGTGACCACCACTGTAAAATATACAGCAAGTGTACAGAACAAAGAAAACTTTGGCAGGTATCAGGGAAAAGGTGGGTTTTGAGTTTGCATTTGAACAGTTCACATGAAGAAATGGTTCTGTGGGGAGAGAGTTGCTGCTGCAAAGTGAAATGATCTGTAGCCAAAAGTTATGAGTTTGTATGAGGGCATTTGAAGTTGAAGCTGTGTGCTGGGCCGCAATGACCTTGCAGGTACATACACACAGACAAGGTTTTGCAGGTACATACACACAGACATGGTCTTGCAGGTACATACACACAGACAAGGTCTTGCAGGTACATACACACAGACACAGTCTTGCAGGTACATACACACAGACACGGTCTTGCAGGTACATACACACAGACAAGGTCTTGCAGGTACATACACACAGACACAGTCTTGCAGGTACATACACACAGACAAGGTCTTGCAGGTACATACACACAGACAAGGTCTTGCAGGTACATACACACAGACAAGGTTTTGCAGGTACATACACACAGACATGGTCTTGCAGGTACATACACACAGACAAGGTCTTGCAGGTACATACACACAGACACAGTCTTGCAGGTACATACACACAGACACGGTCTTGCAGGTACATACACACAAACACGGTCTTGCAGTTACATACACACAGAGACACGGGGTCTTGCAGGTACATACACACAGACAGGGTCTTGCAGGTACATACACACAGACAAGGTCTTGCAGGTACATACACACAGACACAGTCTTGCAGGTACATACACACAGACAGGGTCTTGCAGGTACATACACACAGACACGGTCTTGCAGGTACATACACACAGACACGGTCTTGCAGGTACATACACACAAACACGGTCTTGCAGGTACATACACACAGACAAGGTCTTGCAGGTGCATACACACAGACAAGGTCTTGCAGGTACATACACACAGAGAAAGTCTTGCAGGTACATACACACAGACAAGGTCTTGCAGGTACATACACACAGACAAGGTCTTGCAGGTACATACACACAGACAAGGTTTTGCAGGTACATACACACAGACATGGTCTTGCAGGTACATACACACAGACACGGTCTTGCAGGTACATACACACAGACAAGGTCTTGCAGGTACATACACACAGACATGGTCTTGCAGGTACATACACACAGACACGGTCTTGCAGGTACATACACACAGACACGGTCTTGCAGGTACATACACACAGACATGGTCTTGCAGGTACATACACACAGACATGGTCTTGCAGGTACATACACACAGACACGGTCTTGCAGGTACATACACACAGACAAGGTCTTGCAGGTACATACACACAGACACGGTCTTGTAGGTACATACACACAGACAAGGTCTTGCAGGTGAATTCACACAGACACGGTCTTGTAGGTACATACACACAGACAAGGTCTTGCAGGTACATACACACAGACACAGTCTTGCAGGTACATACACACAGACAAGGTCTTGCAGGGACATACACACAGACACAGTCTTGCAGGTACATACACACAGACAAGGTCTTGCAGGTACATACACACAGACAAGGTCTTGCAGGTACATACACACAGACATTGTCTTGCAGGTACATACACACAGACACAGTCTTGCAGGTACATACACACAGACAAGGTCTTGCAGGTACATACACACAGACACAGTCTTGCAGGTACATACACACAGACAAGGTCTTGCAGGTACATACACACAGACAAGGTCTTGCAAGTACATACACACAGACACGGTATTGCAGGTACATACACACAGACACGGTCTTTGCAGGTACATACACACAGACAAGGTCTTGCAGGTACATACACACAGACAAGGTCTTGCAGGTACATACACACAGACACGGTCTTGCAGGTACATACACACAGACACGGTCTTGCAGGTACATACACACAAACACGGGTCTTTGCAGTTTACATACACACAGACACGGTCTTGCAGGTACATACACACATACACGGTCTTGCAGGTACATACACACAGACAAGGTCTTGTAGGTACATACACACAGACAAGGTCTTGCAGGTACATACACACAGACATGGTCTTGCAGGTACACACAGACAAGGTCTTGCAGGTACATACACACACAGACACAGTCTTGCAGGTACATACACACAGACAAGGTCTTGCAGGTACATACACACAGACATTGTCTTGCAGGTACATACACACAGACAAGGTCTTGCAGGTACATACACACAGACACGGTCTTGCAGGTACATACACACAGACACAGTCTTGCAGGTACATACACACAGACAAGGTCTTGCAGGTACATACACACAGACACAGTCTTGCAGGTACATACACACAGACACAGTCTTGCAGGTACATACACACAGACATTGTCTTGCAGGTACATACACACAGACAAGGTTTTGCAGGTACATACACACAGACATGGTCTTGCAGGTACATACACACAGACACGGTCTTGCAGGTACATACACACAGACAAGGTCTTGCAGGTACATACACACAGACATGGTCTTGCAGGTACATACACACAGACACAGTCTTGCAGGTACATACACACAGACAAGGTCTTGCAGGTACATACACACAGACAGGGTCTTGCAGGTACATACAGACACGGTCTTGCAGGTACATACACACAGACACGGTCTTGCAGGTACATACACACAGACAAGGTCTTGTAGGTACATACACACAGACAAGGTCTTGCAGGTACATACACACAGACATGGTCTTGCAGGTACATACACACAGACAAGGTCTTGCAGGTACATACACACAGACACGGTCTTGCAGGTACATACACACAGACAAGATCTTGCAGGTACATACACACAGACATTGTCTTGCAGGTACATACACACAGACAAGGTCTTGCAGGTACATACACACAGACACGGTCTTGCAGGTACATACACACAGACACAGTCTTGCAGGTACATACACACAGACAAGGTCTTGCAGGTACATACACACAGACATTGTCTTGCAGGTACATACACACAGACAAGGTTTTGCAGGTACATACACACAGACATGGTCTTGCAGGTACATACACACAGACACAGTCTTGCAGGTACATACACACAGACAAGGTCTTGCAGGTACATACACACAGACACAGTCTTGCAGGTACATACACACAGACACGGTCTTGCAGGTACATACACACAGACACAGTCTTGCAGGTACATACACACAGACAAGGTCTTGCAGGTACATACACACAGACAAGGTCTTGCAAGTACATACACACAGACAAGGTCTTGCAGGTACATACACACAGACACAGTCTTGCAGGTACATACACACAGACAAGGTCTTGCAGGTACATACACACAGACAAGGTCTTGCAAGTACATACACACAGACACGGTCTTGCAGGTACATACACACAGACACGGTCTTGCAGGTACATACACACAGACAAGGTCTTGCAGGTACATACACACAGACAAGGTCTTGCAGGTACATACACACAGACATGGTCTTGCAGGTACATACACACAGACACGGTCTTGCAGGTACATACACACAAACACGGTCTTGCAGTTACATACACACAGACACGGTCTTGCAGGTACATACACACATACACGGTCTTGCAGGTACATACACACAGACAAGGTCTTGTAGGTACATACACACAGACAAGGTCTTGCAGGTACATACACACAGACATGGTCTTGCAGGTACATACACACAGACAAGGTCTTGCAGGTACATACACACAGACATTGTCTTGCAGGTACATACACACAGACACAGTCTTGCAGGTACATACACACAGACAAGGTCTTGCAGGTACATACACACAGACACGGTCTTGCAGGTACATACACACAGACAAGGTCTTGCAGGTACATACACACAGACAAGGTCTTGCAGGTACATACACACAGACAAGGTCTTGCAGGTACATACACACAGACAAGGTCTTGCAAGTACATACACACAGACACGGTCTTGCAGGTACATACACACACACACAGTCTTGCAGGTACATACACACAGACAAGGTCTTGCAGGTACATACACACAGACACAGTCTTGCAGGTACATACACACAGACAAGGTCTTGCAGGTACATACACACAGACACAGTCTTGCAGGTACATACACACAGACAAGGTCTTGCAGGTACATACACACAGACACGGTCTTGCAGGTACATACACACAGACACGGTCTTGCAGGTACATACACACAGACACAGTCTTGCAGGTACATACACACAGACAAGGTCTTGCAGGTACATACACACAGACACGGTCTTGCAGGTACATACACACAGACATTGTCTTGCAGGTACATACACACAGACACAGTCTTGCAGGTACATACACACAGACAAGGTCTTGCAGGTACATACACACAGACAACGGTCTTGCACATACACACAGACAAGGTCTTGCAGGTACATACACACAGACAAGGTCTTGCAGGTACATACACACAGACAAGGTCTTGCAGGTACATACACACAGACAAGGTCTTGCAAGTACATACACACAGACACGGTCTTGCAGGTACATACACACACACACAGTCTTGCAGGTACATACACACAGACAAGGTCTTGCAGGTACATACACACAGACACAGTCTTGCAGGTACATACACACAGACAAGGTCTTGCAGGTACATACACACAGACACAGTCTTGCAGGTACATACACACAGACAAGGTCTTGCAGGTACATACACACAGACACGGTCTTGCAGGTACATACACACAGACAAGGTCTTGCAGTTACATACACACAGACACAGTTTTGCATCTACTGCGGAGCTCTACCATACACACACTTGTGGGGCAATACTCTTTAAACTCAATCCACCGTTTGACAGGTAGCCAGCAGAGCTTTCATGTTTGTTGTAAAGGTTTACTGTAATTGGTATTTCAGATCCATTCGGTGGAATGTCCAGAGCATGGTCAGCTCCAGCGAGTCCAGGGCGTGGCTCTCCCCACACAGGTCAAGGTAACTCGCCCGCCTCGTTCTGTGTCTGCTATCATTTAAAATTAAACGTGAAGATCCGGGTTAGAATTGATCTTCAGCAACCCATGCTTGTTGTAACTGACGGGATCGGGTGGTCAGGCTCGCTGACTTGGTTGACACATGTCATCGTATCCCATAGTTCTGTTGATTACTGGATTGTATTGTCCAGACTCGATTGTTTACAGACTATTGGTCTTGGGCAGCCCATGCATTGTGTAAAACCCGGGAGGCGACTGATGGGATCTGGCAGTCAGGCTTATGATGTGGCTGTCACATGTCACATCCCAACTGCATAGACAGATGCTCATGATGTTGATCACCGGATTTTATGGTCAAGACTTGATAATTTACAGACTGCCATCATATAGCTGGAAAATTGCTGAGCATGGCATTAAACGACAAACAAAATTTCAAACTAACTGGTCGTAGATAATATGCGTGTCAAAACAGGTTTGATTGTCTGCAATGTGAGATGATCAGTTCGTATACCTACTTTGCATTTTTGTCATTGCTAAAGGTGAAGTAGAGGCGGTGGGGTAGTCTAGTGGTTAAAGCGTTGGCTCGTCACGCCCGAGGACCCGGGTTCGAATCCCCACATGGGTACAATGAGTGAAGCCCATTTCTGGTGTCCCCCGCCGTGATATTGCTGGAATATTGCTAAAAGCGGCGTAAAACCAAACTCAGTCAGTCAGTCAGCTAAAGGTGAAGTAACACCATCAGCGTCAGAGCCTATGACGTCCAGAACCAAAATGTGTAGACACCCTACTTTTTGCCATATTTGCACATATTGAAGAGATTATTCTAAGAACATGATAAATGTTCAGACAGGGCTCCAGATAACTTTTGGGGGTGTGAGTATACTTACGCATCATATTGCAAGTGGAGGTGTACTTACAATTTTGAAGGAGTACTGGCGTGTTTTTGTGTGAGTGAGTTGGTGATGTGGTTTGTCTGGACGATTCATGGATCACTATTTCCAACCATGTACAGTATTTGTATTCGAAGACACGTGAGAAATAACAGAGCGACCGTGTGATGCGCGAAATGTCAGGTCCAACTGGATATAAATAGGAACAGTGTAGTTTTTAGCCAATCGAAAAATAGTGACACATATCGTTGCATGGCAACACAAGGGATTCTTACTGTTGGGGTTTCCTCATGTGTAAAATCGTGTTTCGCAAAAGAAACTTGACAATTATTTATCCGAAATAGATTTCCATTTGCACGATACGCACGGAAATTAAATGTTAGACGTACAAAGGCATTTATGTGCATACACGATGCGCTTGAAATCTTATATTATGTCGTACTTAATTGATTTTGAGGTGTACATTACACCTGTACGCCCCTTATCTGTAGCCCTGTTTAGATATGTCTGGTGTTCATAGAAGAAATAGTCCTATGTTTTTGATGACTGAATGTTGTTACAGATGCACCACTGGGCTTATGACTATATCGTCAAGAGAGCAGCACAACCGGTGAGTATTTCTGTATTTGAGAGGTTTGAGTTCTCTCCCTTTGTCATACCAGGATCTCTTGGTTGTTGCTTTTAATAATCCTTGAGAGGAAAATGTGTCATATTTTCGCACATTTAGTGAAACATTAGACATTAGGGAACAAATAGATACAGTTTTAAGGACTTTGTGTGAGTGTCAGATAATAAACAGGTATGCTAGGTGTCATGGTGATTTTTAGTGATCCTCATGAAGGTATAGATTAGAATTTGTCTTCAGCAACAAGTGCTTGTCGTAAGAGGCATCTAATGGATGTGGTGGTTGGGCTGGTGGAATCAGCTGATGCAAGGCATAATATCCCAGGAACTGAGATCAATGCTCATTATGTCAATCACATGTTTGTGGTGCTCAGACTCAATCATTTACAATGAACGAATATATCAGAATACTGCTTAGAAGAAAGCTAACAAATAGGCATTAGCCAGGAACAGTTTGAAGTGGGGTAGCCTAGTGGTTAAAGCGTTTGCTTGTCACGCTAAAGACCCAGGTTCGATTCCCTACATGGGTACAATGTGTGAAGCCAATTTCTGGTGTTCCCTGCCGTGATGTTGCTGGAATTGTGCTAAATGAGGCATAAAACCATGCTCACTCACTCAAATGATGAAGTGGATTTTGTACGATTCATTTCCCACTGGCTGAAATGTTTTTTGGTTTTGCTTCAGAACCAAGCTCCCTTGCTTTCCACATACTCCCTGTCTCAGGACCAAGATGTGAAAGAAGATGCAGCAGAGGTGTAGATGTTGTGGACAATTCATGATACAGCGAAGGCAGCGATTATCTGCTGCAGTGAAATTGTGTTGCATTTAATTGGATTACCTGACGGCAATGATGATGCCAATTGTGTGACCGTTTGTTGCAGAGGCCGGCCCACTGATGTAGAGTATCAAGATGGTAGAACATGGACCGTCATGAATACAGCACAAACTGAAACCTATAGGGCCTGTTAGTCTTGCGAGACTCTGCTTCCGGTACTAAGCTGGTTCCCGGCACCCTTTTCGCGTGCCAACTTGTGATAAGCGAGACACGGCCTAGCTTACTTCCCGGACCAAATTTCCAGTGACAAGCGAAATTGCGCGACTGCCAAATATGACTTTACTGGACCAAGTGTACAACCATGCTTTTGAGAGTTGTAATAGTCAGCTAATTAGGGGATGGTTAGATCGGAAATTTGTTATTCCTGCAAGGATTATCGGTTCTTTACTGTCAACTGACAACCATCTGTCGAGATGCCAGAGAGTCTTGTAGCAGTCTGATATTGTGAACCAAACTCAGATGATATAAAGTAAAATATTAAAGTGTATATATAAAGTGAAAATATATGGAAATATACAACAGCACATGTAATTAAAATCAAATATGTATCTTGTAACAAGTGAAACAATTATCACTTACTGTTGGCTTGTGAAGGATTACTGTTTGAGGAATCATGGTGAGAAAATGACGGAAGATTTCATAGCATTGTCGCAAAAGTATTGATGAGTTGTCATGGTAATGGTAACAGTTGTGACGTTAACTTACACAAAGCAGCAACGTTGATATTGCAACATTGGAAATCATTTACATTGACAGTCATACTATAGACTTTTGTAAATATAGTGCCGATTCGGGATGAATAACTGATTACTGTAATAAATATTAGTGTTTGTTTGAATGTGGATGTCTATAGTTTCAGTTTACAAGCTCAGGCGTAAAGGATAGTGTGTGATTCAAAACAGCCATTTTACGCGTGAAGATCTGGATTAGAATTGGTCTTCAGCAACCCATGCTGTCTGTAAATGGCGACTAACGGTATCAGGTGGTCAGGTTAGCTGACTTGGTTGACACGTGTCGTCGTATCCCAACTGCGTAGATCGATGCTCATGATCATATTGATCACTGCATTGTCTGGTCCAGGATGTGGTGCTTTGGGTTTTCTGCATCTATTTTCCACACATTTGTGCATTGTGTAAAACCCTGAAGTTGACAAACGGGATCAGTTTGGCTCACTGAGTTGGCTGTCAAAAGTAATCGTATGCCAACTGCATCGATGCTGTTGATCACTGGATTGTCTGGTCCAGACCTGATTATTTACATATCATGATATATAGAGCTGGAATATTCCCGAGTGTGGCATTGTTGAACAACAAACCAACCAAAACAGCAATGTATTCATTGAACACATTTTCAGAGTCAGCAATGATTCAAGATTCAGCATTCAAATGTTCAAACACTCAAATGGTCTCATGGTCAAAAACGACACTTTAACCAGTACGCTACTCCACCATATATCTAGGGGCCAGCATCTTCATAGAGCTTGAGGGGGGGTGGAGTAGCGTAGTGGTTAAAGCCTTGTTCGTCACGCCGAAGACCCGGGTTCGATTCCCCACATGGGTACAATATGGGAAGCCCATTTCTGGTGTCCCCCGCCATGATATAGCAGGAATATTGCGAAAAGCGGCGTAAAACTAAACTCACTCACTCACTCATAGAGCTTGGTGGTTGCAAGGTCTGAACAGTTACTGGTTGAAACATAGGTCCCAAACAACTGATCGGTACCAGCAACTCAGATTTGATGATTTGCTTGATTGTGTTGTATGCCATCAGAGTGTATGAATGCTTATAACATAGATTACTGTTTTGTCTGGTCCAGACTCGATTATTTACAGACTGATTGCAGATTTCTGAGAAATTTTTTTTCAAAAGTAATGCATTAACACTGGAATTTTGGATATTTGATGCAAATTAAATTGAAGGCTTTTTGAAGTTTTAGATAATCCATGCTGTTCAAATAGACAAAACACCCATTTTTAGAATTTTATTTGACTATAGTTTGCAAAATGATGTTGCACCTAATTCTAAAAACTGCCCTACAATAATAACATTTATTAGTTGACATGGTAGTCCGAGGTAATACATGAACCACTCAATTAACTCAGCATAATAATGATATACAGTCAGACCTCGTTAATACAAACACTTTGTTTTTTTAAAAAAAACGTTCGGATAGTGAAACGTTCGTACTGCTGAAATCACAGTATATGCACCGAGTTACTTCCCCTTGATATCTTTCCTTACTATTGATACGTGAAGAAATCAAAACAAAACATCAAAGACAATCAATATATTTGGAGTAAAAGTTGTTAAAGTGTTAACTGGACTGGTTAGGCTTTATGATAAAGGGATCAACGGGATGAGTCGCTAAACAAACAACGTGTCACTTTGGGTGGACCAGTCAGCAGCGTGGTCAACTTCAATCGTTCGGATTAACGCAGCTGGTTACAACTTAATTAGTCTAATCCGTTCCGACTGACCAGCGTTCAGAGGCGGAAACTGAATCATCGGACTCACGAGGTGTCAATTATATACAATATATAGGGAGATGATTTGGTGCCCAGTGAGTAGCGTTCGGAAGTCGGTGGATTCGGATTAACGAGGACCGGATTACCGCGGCCTGACTGTATACTGAGCGAAACAAAAAGGGGAACACAGGAAAATTCAAGTTTTCCTTTATTATTTTCCAGTTTTCATCACCAGCTTTGAATAGCGCTGTGGGAGGAAATCTGAGAATAACTAATGGGCAAATACATGTACTAACATGGCAAAAGAAACAATGTGTTACAACTGAAAACAGCAGCATGCCTATCACTGATATTTCCTCAAAGAAGGGGTAGCCTAGTGGTTAACCCGGGTCTTTGTCATGACAAGCAAACGTTTTAACCACTCGACTATCCCACCGTCCTCGAGTTTTGATGGTATAGCACAAACTGTGTCCAATGAGACGTTAGGTTGATTGGAAAATTCACACAGCACAAGCACGTGAACAAAATTGTGAAATTATTACACAACCTGCCCTGGTACATGTTAACAATGGAAGCAATATGTTTCTCTCCCTGTGACTTGTTACAAGCAGAAACATTTGTGTACTCAAAAATTAGTCACATAAAAGTAAACATAAACATTTATGTATAAAAAAATGATGTCAGTCCAAATTTTCAAGAATTTAAAGACAATTGTCATGGAAAATTGCTTTGTGCGGCAAAACAAGAAGTACAAGATACTTTTGTGAGGTGACCAGTTGGAATCAGTGCATAGAGATTGTGTTGATTGTCTCTTAAATAATACTTGTATGATGCTTTATAAAGCAAAACAATGTATAAATAAAATAATTGCAGTATAATGATACACCTGTCACAGGTGTTAAAGACTAGTCTATCACTGACAAGAGTAATATGTATGATCACAGCATTTCACAAAATCAAAGGCATGTCAACAGTGTCAAATGTTAACGAACACTCCTGCTGAAATATAAAAGTCTTAATTATTATACAGACCTAGAGAGATCTGGTCATTAGAAGTTGACTTTCTTTATAGTCACACTGCAAAGATCAAATCAAGGTCAAAATAGCCAAAATCAGTCAAAAATGGCAAAATTTAACTTTATCAAAACACAAACCGAACAAAAATACTTTAACATGAATAAGAAAATGATTTTGGCTCTCAAGAAGTTTGTCCTGTATCCAATGATGCCATAACCATGGTAACTGTAGTGCCTGATACTGTAACCATGGTTGCTGAAGTCTGTGATGCCATAACCCTGGTAACATGAGTCAGTGATACTGTAACCATGGTAACTGTAGTCACTGATACCGTAACCATGGTAACTGTAGTCACTGATACCGTAACCATGGTAACTATGTATTGACCTGGATTTGCTGAAGTTTCTGATAGCCATACTTGACACCAAATCGGATCCCAACAAAGGCCAGGAGTGTTAGAAACATGAAGAAGCCGCTGTAGTTGCCGCCCGAGATTTTTACTGTGGTATAGAATCACAAATTAAAGTTGCCATTGATAACCCAGGTTAAAGTGTTTACTGTGGTATAGAATCACAAATTAAAGTTGCCATTGATAACCCAGGTTAAAGTGTTTACTGTGGTATAGAATCACAAATTAAAGTTGACATTTGACATTGATAACCCAGGTTAAAGTGTTTACTGTGGTATAGAATCACAAATTAAAGTTGACATTGATAACCCAGGTTAAAGTGTTTACTGTGGTATAGAATCACAAATTAAAGTTGCCATTGATAACCCAGGTTAAAGTGTTTACTGTGGTATAGAATCACAAATTAAAGTTGCCATTGATAACCCAGGTTAAAGTGAGGGACACAGTGTTACCCTGGAAACCCCAGTCTAGCATCACCATAGGTTGCTAGGGACCTAGTGTTACCCTGGAAACCCCAGTTTAGCATCATCATAGGTTCCTAGGGACCTTGTGTAATCCTGGAAACCCCAGTTTAGCATCACCATATGTTGCTAGGGACCTAGTGTAACCCTGGAAACCCCAGTTTAGCATCACCATAGGTTGCTAGGGACCTAGTGTTACCCTGGAAACCCCAGTTTAGCATCACCATAGGTTGCTAGGGACCTAGTGTAACCCTGAACCACCAGTCTAGCATCACCATAGGTTGCTAGGGACACAGTGTTACCCTGGAAACCCCAGTTTAGTGTCACCATAGGTTGCTAGGGACCTAGTGTTACCCTGGAAACCCCAGTTTAGCATCATCATAGGTTGCTAGGGACCTAGTGTAACCCTGGAAACCCCAGTTTAGCATCACCATAGGTTGCTAGGGACCTAGTGTAACCCTGGAACCCAATTGGGAGAATATAAGTTTGGTATGGTGTTTTTGTCTTACCAGCATAGGACTCCTGTTCGTTGATAGCGTCGAAGACTGGATCTGACACTTGGGTCATGAACTTCAAGACTGGAAGGTCGAGTTCAGGCAGGACTGTGTCGGTACGGTGGCCGTGGTCAACGTCATCACAGTAGTTGCTACATCGCGCAGCAGTCGGTGGCGTGACCCAGCAAGCCCAAGTGCATCTATGAACTGTGCTTCCGGCTTGTCGTTACAACTCCTTGCTCAGCTCAGCAGTTCCCACTTTGTCCTGCTTCGTTTAGAACCCCAAACACTGGGATTGCTGAAACAACAACCCATTGTCTCACATCAAACACTGGGGTTGCTGAAACAATAACTCATTGTCTCACACCAAACACTGGGATTGTTGAAACAATAATCCATTGTCTCACATCAAACACTGGAATTGCTGAAACAAGAACCAATTGTCTCACACCAAACACTGGGATTGTTGAAACAATAACCCATTGTCTCACAGCAAACACTGGAATTGCTGAAACAATAATCAATTGTCTCACACCAAACACTAGGATTGCTGAAACAATAACCCATTGTCTCACACCAAACACTGGGATTGCTGGAAACAATAACCCATTGCAGGGGCTCGAATTAAGAGAAGTTAACCTACTTGCAATTCAGGTGCAACCTAAGATGTAAACCTAGTTGCACCAGACAAGTTCCAGTTGCAGTGTAGTGTCTCGGTGCACATAAACATGTTTCTGTGATGTAGTACCCATGAAACCATAGCAACACAGAGATGCAGCTGATCGTTGTTTACAAGAGCTGTCATAGCTGAAGCGTGTCTGTAAATAGCAATGTTTGATTGCCACAGCTATTTAAAGTTTAGAAGAAAATTGAGCTAACATACTTTTGCTTATACTATAGTGTTAGATTTATTGTTGATTTATTTCTAAAAATTGACTTGTACCTGGTGCAAGTTTGACTAATAACTGGGTTGCTCTTTGTAATATTGGGTTGCACCAGTGCAAAGTAAGAAAGCACTAAATCGAGCCCCTGCATTGTCTCACACCAAACACTGGGATTGCTGAAACAATAACCCATTGTCTCACATCAAACACTGGGATTGCTGAAACAATAACCCATTTTCTCACACCAAACACTGGGATTGCTGAAACAATAACCCATTGTCTCACACCAAACACTGGGATTGCTGAAACAATAACCCATTGTCTCACACCAAACACTGGGATTGCTGAAACAATAACCCATTGTCTCACACCAAACACTGGGATTGCTGAAACAATAACTCATTGTCTCACACCAAACACTGGGATTGCTGAAACAATAACCCATTGTCTCACACCAAACACTGGGATTGCTGAAACAACAATTGTTGTTGTTTGGTTGTTGTTTAACGCTGCACTCAGCAATATATCAGCTACTAGTATATCGTGGCGGTCTGAAAATAATAAGTCTGGACCAGACAATCCAGTGATCAACAACATGAACATCGAATTACGAAATTGGAATATGATTTGACATGTCAACCAAGTCAAAAAGCCTGACCACCCGATCCTGTTGGTAGTCTTGTACGACAAGCATGGGTTGCTTAAGGCCATACAAGGCACCAGGGTTCATACCATTTTGAATTTGTCTTGGCAGGACCTTGTTCACTGTGAACCAACTCTCTTTATCGGCAATTATGCTGATTATATTTTCTCAATGACCTGTTTGAAAATATGTCACCTACATCTGAAGCATGATGTGAATGGTAGCGTTGGAGAGGAAACTAAAGTACTCACGGAAATAGAAATAAAATGGTTTTTGGCGTTTATCTATTTATTACTTCATCCAAATAGGTAGTTTTAACAAATATTAAACTAACAATATTTTTTCCAACTTGGCCTTTTGGGAAAAATGATAGTTATAAGAATATTTAACATTCAAACTTTAGTTGTGTTGAAAACTACGAAATACATGCCAAACACCATTTTATTTCTATTTCTGTGAGTATTTAGTTTCCTCTCCAACACTACCATTCACATCACGCTTCAGGTGTAGGTGACATTGGAGAGGAACCTAACTTTGACGTACTTCTCTTTCTGCTGTAAATGACTCCTGAGGGCCGTGCTGCTTGCAGTACACACTGAATCAGATTCTGAGGGATCTCTGACGTAGACGCTGACACAAAAACAACTCGATCAACCTTCAGATTTTCATCATTTTCAGCATACTTCTGTCGCAGGCTTTCTAGTCCGTATTTCCTGTAGTACTCGTCTGCCTCTGCGAGGGATTCCTCTTCTGGGAGACGGCCATAAAAGATGATGCGAAGCAACTCGACGTACCGTTCCCGCTCTTCGTTTGTCAACCCGGCAATGTCGATGAGAGTGGGGAGGTTGACATCGGAGTACTTTGGGCTTGAGCCGTGACAGCATTTAGGAAAACTGGAATAGAGGGGGTGAGTCAGTGAGTGAGTGAGTGTGTGAGTGAGTCAGTACTTTTGGCTTGCTCAAAATGCATCAGGGGCGGTGGGGTAGCCTAATGGGTAAAGCGTCCGCTCGTCACACTGAAGACCCAGGTTCGACTCCCCACATGGGTACAATGTGAGAAGCCCGTGGTGTCTCCGCCATGATATTGCTGGAATATTGCTACAAGTGGCGTAATACCATATTCACAAACTCACTCACTCAAAATATATCATAGCATATGTACATATACTGACTGACTGACTGAGTTTAGTTTTCGCCGCTTTTAGCAATATTCCAGTAATATCATGGCGGGGGACACCAGAAATGGGCTTAACACTTTGTGCCCATGTGGGGAATCGAACCCGGGTATTCGGCGTGACGAGCCAACACTTTAACCACTAGGCTACCCCACCGCCCCTGTACATATACAGAAGACAGACAACAGTAAAGACAGTCGATCAGACATGCATGATGGTATGTGACACTTGGATCAGGCACATCTACTGTTAAGTAACAATTTCTGATATTGACAAGTTACACTTACTGGCAAGCCAGACTTACAGACTGACTCACTCAATATGTCTACCAGAGAACAAAAGAGTGAATTCTGATACCCACCTCTTTGTGAACACTGTGATCTGATCACTCCCCCCTCCATGGTTACCAGAATATGCATATTCCCTCCAAGTGTCATCAGAAAATGAGGCAGCAATTGTGTTGACCAGTGACGATTTCCCCACACCTGCTGGCCCTACAAACACAAATTATATATTCACTTATAATCTAGATCATCACAGGCACTATATATACAGGTTGGTTGGTTGATGTGTTGTTTTACGCCACACTCAGCAATATTCCAGCTCTATGGTGGCGGTCTGTAAATAATCGAGTGATCAACATCATGAGCATCGTTCTACACAATTGGGATACGATGACATGTGTCAACCAAGTCAGCAAGCCTGGCCACCCGATCCCGTTAGTCGCCTCTTACTGCAGGCATGGGTTGCTGAAGACCAATTCTAACCAGGATCATCACCAGTCCACTGTATATATGGAGATACTGAGGCGACGGGAATGTTTAGATATGCCACAGGGCACTCATAGAAATGTTTAGATTGCCACAGGGCACACATGGATATGTTTAGATTGTCACAGGGCACTCATGGGAATGTTTAGATTGTCACAGGGCAATCATAGAAATGTTTAGATTGCCACAGGGCACACATGGATATGTTTAGATTGTCACAGGGCACTCATGGGAATGTTTAGATTGTCACAGGGCAATCATAGAAATGTTTAGATTGCCACAGGGCACACATGGATATGTTTAGATTGTCACAGGGCACTCATGGGAATGTTTAGATTGTCACAGGGCAATCATAGAAATGTTTAGATTGCCACAGGGCACACATGGAATGTTTAGATATGTTTAGATTGTCACAGGGGCACATGGATATGTTTAGATTGTCACAGGGCACACATGGATATGTTTAGATGTGCCACAGGGCACCCATAGAAATGTTTAGATGTGCCACAGGGCACCCATAGAAATGTTTAGATGTGCCACAAGGCACTCATAGAAATGTTTAGATGTGCCACAGGGCACTCATAGAAATGATCACTTATTTATTTGTCGCTGGGGGAGGTAGGGTAACTTAGTGGTTCGCTCATCACACTTAAGACCTGGGTTCGATTCCCTACATGGGTACAATGTGCGAAGCCCATTTCTGGTTACCCTATCGTGATATTGCTGGAATATTGTTACACTCACTATTCGTCACTGAGGGTGGCATTAAATGTTTTAGATAAAAACATTCAAACCAAGATGTCAGTAGTTGTAACATCCTGGTACACTGTGGCACATCTAAACATCTCTTTGAGTGCCCTGTGGCACATCTAAACATTCCTATGATTGTGCTGTGGCACATCTAAACATTCCTATGATTGTACTGTGGCACATCTAACTATTTCTATGAGTGCCCTGAGGCACATCTAACCATTTCTATGAGTGCCCTGAGGCACATCTAAAAATCTCTTTGAGTTCGCTGTGGCACATCTAAACATTTCTATTTTCATGAGTGCCCTGTGAAACATCTTAACATTTCTATGCATGCCCTATGGCACATCTAAACATTTCCACGAGTGCCCTGGGGAACATCTAAACTTTTCTGTGATTGCCTTATACCTGGAATAAGGTTTAATTTTGAACCTTTTTAAATTATTTCTGAAATATCTAAACCAATTAAAAGAGCAACATCATTTGAAACAAAAAGGTAAGTATATAAAAAAAATATCGTTTCCTGAACAAAGTACCGCAAAATGCACGTCATACTCCTTTCATTTGGACTTACCAATGACGGCAACATTCAAGGGGCGTATCCGATTTTTGTCTTTGCAGTTACTGATTATTCGCTCCTGGTATTTCTTCTTCTCCACCATTAGTTTTACATCAGACTCTCTCATTAAGTCAAACTCTAGGTCAGCCATGGTTCTCTACTTATCTGCCCTGTCAACACAGTAGAAAACAAGGTGACAGTGATTAAGACGAGATGATGATGATGACGATGATGATGATGACGATGATGATGATGATGATGATGATTGATGATACATATTTCACAGAAAACAAATTTCCTTCAAAGCCCAAACAAAGATTTGAACAGTAAATTTCTCACAAGTAAACACTTCACATCATTTTACCTACTGATATTGAAATATTATTATAGGCTTGTCTTTGCTTTCTGCTTTTTTAGTTATAATTCTAACATGATTAATGACCCCTGAAGATCCGGGTGAGAACATGGGTGTCGTATGCGGCGACAACCGTGATCGGGTGGTCAGGAACACTGACACAAGTCAGGTTGACACAAGTCATGTCATGTTGTCCTTGCGGATTGATACTCGTGATGTCAATTACGATCACTGGAGTGTCGGGTCCAGATTCGATTATATAGAGCTTGACTGCCGTCATGAAGCTATGAACAAAACTCCACACTGAGGTATATAATTCAGACCATACTATGCGGACAAACCCGAAAATTACAATTTCGCTGCATAAACTGCAGTAAAGTCCCCCCCCCCCCCCCGACATCCTCTCCACAAGTTAAAACGAAAGTAAGAAAACATATCAAAACAGCAAAGAGTTCACCATCGATGGTGTGTACTGATGTATCTTAACCTCACGTGTGATGCTACACTCAGCTAGTGTAGATAACGACACGTAAGTTAACGCCAGACTGATTACCTGCACCCTGTCGGACACCGCTTGAACAACCAAGAAAACGACAACACTCGCCTGTTTTGATGCTATTTTTAGCTTTACCATATCCTTCCGCCTTCCTAAGTAAAATTGTCGTTATGGCAAACAATGTACCGTTGTTATAGCGACAGGATTTTGTTATTTCGGCTCTATAGGCTTATTGATACATTTCATTATGTTTGCGATTACAGCGGGGTGAAAGTTCCAGAATGGATATGTACTATATTTTGCACGCATTCATGCCTGGTTTTGCTGTCAGGGGATTCCCCGTGACGTAATCGCACTACCTTACCATTCGCAATTACTCGTCCCTTTCCGTAAGCGGAATACTTTGAGGGAACACGAATGGTTTATTATATCACACGGCGCCTTGGAAGCTGTGGTTCGACAAAACAGCCAAACTAGGAGTATTGTGAAGCCACAAGGAAAGATTTTTTGACACGTTGTATGGCATTCGTCACCACTCGCCCCTTTCCGCAGGGAGACTATATAAGGGGGTAGAGTGTCCCTGCTTTCCGTAACCTGGTATTCGGCTTGTCCCGGAATAACACAAGTTGGTCACGAATGGTTGTATGGATAACAGCTTTATTTTTATTCAGAGGGGTTTCAGAGTTATCCCGTGATTCCGTGCGTGCCGCCATGCTGGTTGTCATTCGCATCCCCAGCAACCATAGCGTCACTAGCAACTATCGTCTACGCATACGTCTGTCTGCTTCAGTCTGTCATCTAACCATCTGTCATGGAGAATTATGCAAACTTACTGGATAAAGCATCTCGCATACGATATCTCGAGAAGACTATTGTGATAGACAACGAAGATCCGTACAGGATTCCCAGATCGGAATGGAGTGACGACCACAAGTATTTAATAATTGTCGGCAACAAACTATGTCGACATCTTGAACTATCTGGTGTTCAGCCCTAGTCCTTTTTATAGTTTATCCGACATGAGAAAGGGGGTTCAGTACCCAGGATGCAGTGCGCGGCCGCCATGTTGGTTGTCAACCTTGCAAGCGCGAAAAGTAAAAAAGTGCGATATTCCACCTGATGCCGATATGCCCGTTTCGTGCGCGGTGTTTAAATGCAGTAATCGTGCAACCCCAGACAAGAAGAGATTTTTCAGATTCCCAGCTATTATTAGTAATAGGGATGAGAAAACAAGAGATCTCAGTCAGAAACGGCACCGTTTGTGGCATTTATGCACAAAGAATATAGACATTGATAGTATAAGCAGTCAAAACCAGTAGCTATGACAGTATTTGATTCACACCCAAACATAAAAAGTTCAGCAGAGAGCTTGAGATTGAATAGTTGGTCACATTTCTGTGTCAACCATCCATGGAAGTTATTCCAAAATATGTCTACAAATGGACACTGCCAAAACAAGTAAATGACAGTTCATAATACCAATGTCTATACAAAAACACATTTAATACAGACATGGAACTCAAATTCATACAATCGTTGCCTCAGTGAAATTTGAAAAGAACTAGTTTCCCCTGACAAAAAGCAATTTTCCCTGACCTTTTTTCCCAAACTTCAAAATTCCCTGATCTTGAAAACATAATTTCTTCCCTGACTTTTCCCTGACCTGTGGCAACCCTGCTACATAAACAGAGCCTTTATGATTTAATTTATGAAAAGTTTTGAAAATCTAAATTAAAAATTGTAGTTATGGTAAGGTAGATATGATTTCGTCTTGAAAAAAGTGCCCCCATCTCCGTTCCTACGCCCCTGTAATTGTAATTTCGTGTGGTGTACTAAGTGTTTGAAATGGGCTTGACACATTGTACCCATGTGGGGAATCGAACCCGGTTCTTCGGCGTGACGAGCGAACGCTTTGACCACTAGGCTACCCCCACCGCCCCACAGCTGACTAAAAGCGGCGTAATATCCAACTCATTCACTCACCCACACCCAACCTTCTTAGTAAACGTCATGTGAGTGAGTGAGTGAGTTTACGTTTACGCCGCACTCAGCAATATTGCAGCTATATGGCGGTGGTCTGTAAATAATCAACACTGGACCAGACAATCCAGTGATCAACAGCATGACCATCGATCTACACAACTGGGATACGATGACATGTGTCAACCAAGTCAGCGAGTCTGACCACCCGATGCCCGCTAGTCGCCTCTTACGACAAACATATGGGTTACTGAAGATCAGTTCTAACCCGGATCTTCACGGGTGAAACGTCATGTGAATACATGTGACACGCAGATCATATATTCAACTCAAGTGCTATCAAGCAATCTGATCCTATATAAACGACCTAAATCTAGTCATTCACTAAATGCATGCTGTTCTTTTCATGCATATAAGGTAACTAAATACACAATATGTAAACATGCTTTAAACTGGTTGTATCCCAGCCAACATGGCGAACGGGATGACTCTCGCTTGGTGTTTCTAGGAGCGCTCCTAGGCGGGATGACTCTCGCTTGGTGTTTCTAGGAGCGCTCCTAAGCAGCGGTACGTAAGCTCTTGCTTTCACATATAGTGAGCGAGTGAGTTTAGTTTTACGCCGCACTCAGCAATATTGCAGCTATATGGCGGCGGTCTGTAAATAATCAAGACTGGACCAGACAATCCAGTGATCAACATCATGAGCATCGATCTACGCAATTGGGATACAGTGCCATGTGTCAACCAACCAAGTCAGCTAGTCTGACCACCTGATCCCGCTAGTCGCCTCTTCCGACAAACATATGGGTTTCTTGGACTTAATAATAATAATAATGTGTCCATATATACAGCGCCAAACTCCACACCAGGTGTGCTCATAGCGTTAACAATCAATAAGGCATTATTGAAGTCCATAGAACTTTTTGTAGAGAAAAGTTTTGAGGTGACGCTTAAAGTTTTCAAGGGTTGGAGACAGCTTAAGGTCATCAGGGAGAGAATTCCAACTGACCGATGCCATGTTCTGGTAAGACTTGTAGCCAAATGATTTGAGGTTCCACTTTGGTACACAGAGCAGATTAGATGAGGATGAACGCAGAGTTCTTGTTGGCATGTAAGGAGAGAGGAGTTCTTGAAGATACACAGGTGCAATACCATGAATGGACTGATAACCAAGTGTAAGGATCTTATAGTCAATGCAAGCTTCAATAGGGAGCCAGTGAAGAGACATCAGGATGGGAGCGATGCGACAATGTTTAGGTTGGAGAGTAACTATGCGGGCAGCTGTGTTCTGGATTCGTTGAACTTTTGGATGGACTCTTGTGAAGCTGCAACCAACAAGCTGTTGCAATAGTCATGTCGTGATAGAATCAGTGCTCTCACCAGGGTAGCCGCAGCATCCTGTGTCAGGAGATGTCTGATCTGTCCAATGTTACGTAGATGGAAGTAACATTTTCTGCATACATGCGAGATCTGTTTCTTCAAGGAGAGGTCAGATTGGAGTAGGACGCCAAGATTTCTGACATATGGAGAAGGTTGAATGACCATACTTCCAACTTTCAGCTGATCATGTTGTGATTTTACTAACATGTTACTTGTGCCAACAATCATACCCTCTGTCTTGTGTTCGTTTAGTTTTAGTTTGTTATTGAACATCCACGCACCAATATCGTCGATGGCATCTTCAATTCTGGTTAAGTCAGAATTGTTGTCACAGCCCCAGGTAATACCATCAAACAACTGAGTATCGTCAGCATAGAGATGATGATTAGTAGCTTTCTCAAAAAGCAGGTCCCCAATTTCTTTGGTATACAAAAAGAACAATACAGGACCGAGAACCGATCCCTGTGGTACACCACAAAGAAGCACAGCTTCCCCGGACTGAGCATTATGAACAGCAACAGATTGAGTCCTGTTTGTTAAGTAGGACCTAAACCATAGAAGAGTCATAACATTTAATTCGTACTGTAACTGAAGTCTTGATAGAAGTATCTGGTGATCCACCGTATCAAACGCGGCCGATAAGTCCAAGAGAACAAGAACAGCTGAGTTCCCCCTGTCAACGCTTCACTGCAAATCATTAACAACACGGAGCAGAGCTGTTTTCGTGCTGTGGAATGACCTATAGGCAGACTGGAATTTGTGATAGAGGTCATGTTTACTCAAGTGCTGACCAAGTTGCATCTTCACATCTCTTTCAAGTACCTTGAAAGAGGAATGGTAGATTAGACACCGGCTTATAGTTATTGAAACAGGTGGAGTCTAAACCAGGTTTTTTCAGCAAAGGTTTCACAATTGCATGCTTGAAACAACCAGGAACAGTGCCACATTTCAAGCTTAAGTTGACAATCTGAGTGAACATAGGAAGTAAGATGTCAATATATTCCAAGACAAATTTAGTAGGGTCTGGATGGAAAGTAAACACGTTGTGTCTTTGATTGTCTGATGATGCAGCGAACTTGTTCCTCAGTGAGCAGGTCGAAGGAATCAAACCTCTAACCTTGAAAGAGTGCACCCGTTACAGAAATTGATTCAGGAGAAAATTCTTGCCTAATCTTCTCAATCTTAGAAGAAAAGAACTTGCAAAAGTCGTTTGCAAGCGTCAAATCATCTTCTACGTTAGGTAGAGTAATGTTTGACGTCTTTCCAAGTAAGGAAAACATATGAGTAAAGAGCCGTATGGGATTCTGCTGGTTGGAGAATACATTATCATTGTAATATTTTGACTTTGTATCACAAATCAGTTGGTTTAATTCATTATGAGCCATGTTGTGCAACTGCCGATGAATTTCAAGCCTGGTTTTTCTCCATTTACGCTCCGCTCTGCGCCTGTGGGTTTTAGCGAGAAGTATCTGATCATTGTACCACTGTGGTTCATGCCTGAGTCGCCTGTATCTCGTGACACCAGGTGCAAGAGAATCCAAGAGTTGAACCAGTGTTGTGTTATAGAGATCCAGTGGTGTGTTATAGAGAACCAGTGTTGTGTTATAGAGAACCAGTGTTGTGTTATAGAGAACCAGTGTTGTGTTATAGAGAACCAGTGTTGTGTTATAGAGATCAGCAAGTTCATTCACATCCTCTGGAGGCTCTGTGAGTAACTGTGAAGACTGAAGACCCCTTGCAAAGTTTTCACGGGAAACAAGCTACACTGGACTTCAACAGGTTTCTCAGCTGGTT